TAGTAGGCAATGCATACATGGCAGTGAGAATAGCATCATAGTCAAGAGCAAATATATCTACCCTCTGCCTAAGCAACTCCACCCAGTCAGGGAGCTCAGCCTCGTCGCCAAACACGGTACGCCAGGCGTCGCTCAGACGGGCGAAGCAGCGGGACTGTGTATGACTAGGTGTCCCACAAGGCTGACCAGTCCGAGCACCAGTGAGAATCACGTAAGAGCAGCGAACAGAACTGAGAGACCCTCCACTCTGAGCGTACCACTCACGAAGCTGCTGAGGCGTGAGAGACGCGCGGGGGGGTCGCGGGAGCTGCATCTGGCCGCCACCAGTAGTAGAAGCAGCAGGAGTGGTAGCAGTAGTAGCGCCACCACCCCTACAGCCCCAACCAGCGTACCACTCACGCAGCTGCTGGGGCGTGAGGGACTCACGCAGACGTCGATGGGGCTGCATCTGGCTCCACCAGTAGAGGCAGGAGCAGGAGTAGCAGCAGTAAGGCAGGCAGCCAGGCAAGCCAAAAAGGGAGGCAGGCAGGCAAGCAGGCGACGCGCAGCGTGCTAGCAGGGCAGGGGCTCACCAGTGGTGGGTAGAGTAGGCTCGGCGACTCAGCGGCTCGGCAGCACGGCGGCTCTGCGGCAGGGCGGCTCGGCAGCAACTGCAGCTCGGCAGCTCGGCGACCCGGCGGCGCGGCTGCTGGGAGGCTCGGGTGTAGAGCGGCTCGGCTGCAGGGCGGCGCGCTGCATATATGTTCTGGCAAGAAGTTCACCTGCCGCTGCGGCGCTAGCTGACCGCTGCAGTGCAACACTGTCAGACTACTTTACTGCAGCGTTGGCAAGTCGCTCTTCTGCTACGTTGGCGGAGTTTGCCCTAAAGAGAGCTTGCTAGGTGTTGCAATGCCATTCGAACTATATCGACTTGCATGTCTCATTGTATTCTAATGTGCTTCTCAATTTTTAGAGGTTTTGTTGCCAAATTTCTCTATGAACAAAGCAAGTAGTGAGAACGCTAGTAGAACGTTACGATCACCCGCACAACCCTGTGCCTTCCTCCGGAGTCCACTCCCGTTGTGTAGTGACTCCCCGCATTGGATCAACCCCCTCATTTCTAGGAAAGCTACATTGTGGGTATAGCCAACCAGGTCGACCCAACCGGTTCAGGTTTTGTCTGCCCGACCCGGGTCGACCCGGTCGGGTCGATTAGGTTGACCAAACCCAACCCAATCGATTTGGAGCATGTTACATTAGCCAACGAAATTTAGGGTTTTCGCGCAGATATCACCTTGATTTCGCCGCGAATTCAGATCGAGTAACCCAGGGTAGGCGAGGTGATGGAGCTTGCCACATGTCGCCCAGGCACGGTAACTGCGTCGCATCAACCTCGAGGATGCAAGGAAAGAAAATTCTCAAATTTCCCGAGCAGATGTTTCCAAGGATCTGGTTGGGTTGGGTCGACCAGGGCGAGCCGACCCGACCCAATCCGTGTGGGTCGCAACATGTCGTTATGAAATCCCCAAACCAGCCCGCTTTTGACATGCCTATTTTTCATGAGTTACGGGATGCCCCCTTTTTGACACCGTGTCTTGTCAATCAGATCGAACGGTAGAATCAACGCTTTGTATGATTGTGAACAGTTTTTATTCATGCCCACGCTTGACGTTGTTCCAAAATATTGTTAGCACGCGGTCCCTCGATTAGGGCCCATCCAACCGCATGCTTTGGTGCTACCTTAGGTGGTCCTCGAACACCCCAGCGGAATTCGGTCGACAGAACGGAATTGCCAGTGTCGTCGAGGGGGGTCGTCAAAGCCTGGGCTGACGGGGCGGAGCAATGACGCGCGTGCGGGCCTGCCAGCCTGGCCCAGGGCTGGGCCGAGCGCACGACCGCCGCCCCGCAGCCCCGCTCCGAATGTGAACAGCGGCCCACATTACCGGGTGGGGTCGGCGAACTGGCGACAGCTCGCGCGTGGGAAAATTACCCTTGCGCGAAGGCAGCCCACACGTGCCACCTGCCCGCGAGGTCCTAGTAACCCATCGCGGCCTGCCCAGACGGGCAGGCGAGGGCCAGGCGAAAATTCGCGGCCCCCTCGGGACACTCGACAATTTCGTGACCCGTTGCAGTGACGCCACGTGTTCGCCCGCTACTTCGCATCGGGCAACATGCAGAATTTGGGACATTGCGAATTCGATTTCGATTGCTTCGCGGCGCACATTTTTCGCGATCCGCTCCGAAATTGACACATGTTGGACGAAACGACGCACCGCACACATGCGAAGTTGCGTCCCATGGCCAACCGAGGCCACGGGACGTGACATCGACTTGCTGGCTCGACGGCGAATGAGAAATTGTGCCACTTGTGCACGAGCCCGCCAAACCCCGCCGAGGCAGGCACCACGAGGGCCGGGCAATGCCTCGACCGTTCCTGTGGGGCACCGACCCCCTTTTCTTGGTAGAAGGGGGCATCGCTCCTCATTTTCGGCATCTCGTTTCCCTTTCCACCTTTTCCCCAGCTGTGCGTCTTCTCCCACATTCACGTCCCTTAGCCTGTAGCCGCTTCCCTTCCCCGCCATGTCGGCCGCCCCGAAAGTCGGCGAAGTGACGCCGACTTCGCAGGACTTCCCTCTGTATCTCGACCTGGGTAGTGGACTCACTGCCAGGCTTGATGAACACGACTACGCCGTCCTCGTAGACCATAGGCTAGAGTTCAACGCCCGTTGCTTGGGATTCGGCCTCAAGTGAGTGTCCGTATTGGGATGTCGGCGTCGACCTCTGGATACCTTGCAGGTCGACGTTGTTAGGGTTGTCCCACGTTTTGGTCGGCGCTACTAGTTTAGGGTTTAGATCACTACTCGGTGACGCACACAGCCGTAGGTCGGCACCGGACTCCGATCACTACAGTAGGTCGGTGCCCGCATCGGTAGGCGCCATTGATTACAACGTCGCGACGGTGGTGCACCGTTGTACTATCGCCATCCCCGTCAGTTGTCGGTTCCAGAACCCACGTGTCCATCCGTCGTGCCTTGCACGTCCTCACACACATCTACTACCCATGCATGCGTGCAGGCACGCATGGATTCACGCTGCGCCGGCCAACATGCGATTGTGGTCGATAGTGCGGAGATAACTACTACAACGGGAGCTAGACTATTGGCTAGGCACGTGTGCTCGTGTGATCTCTGCGTTCGTTGGTCCTTAGGAGTTTTCCTAGTGCTCACATTGCTTGCTAGTTCACGGGGCAATTAGGCAAGAGTTTCACTAAGAAAAGATGACAATAATGGTACAATGAAGTTGGCAATGCAAGACTACATCAGAGCTAGCATTCAGGTTGGTCGACTGCCAGCACAGCATGGTCGACCGCGTTCCAGCACGACTTGGTCGACCGCGCTCCAGCAGTGCAAAGTCGACAGCGTGCCAACGCTGCAGGTTGACGGCGTGCCAGTGTTGCTCCCGTAGAACAGCAGTGCACCTACTTTGCAGGTGCTCGTTGATGATTGGAGGGCTAAGCCTTGTCACCTGAACAGCGCACGCACCAAGTCATCTTCGTGCTGACGGCTCCACCTGATCCGCCACGTCGACCTCGGGATACCACCACCGAGGTCGGACTCGCCAACGTTGCCTGGGCGACCGTCGCACTCCTTCGCAGAACCTCGTCACCCACGTATCCTGGTCGACCGGGCAACTATGTCGACCAGCTGCTCCTGTATGTGCTCGTCGACCTCCCAAGTCGACAACCACACCAAGTCGACCTCACCAGGTCGACCACTCCTCCGGTCGACCAGCTCCAGGTCGACGTCACTCCTGGTCGACCAGTGCAGTTGTCAGCCGACCACCCAAGTCGGCTACCCAAAGTCGGCGTCACCAGGTCGACGCCCCATCTACGTCGGCGCCGACTTCCAGACTGACCTCTTGAAGTCGGCGACCTCCCAAGTCGGCGACCTTGCAAGTCGGCGCCGACTTGCAAAGTCGGTGACCTGGCAAGTCGGTGACCTTGCAAGTCGGTGACCTGGCAAGTCGGTGCCGACTTCCAGGTCGACGTGCCACATCGCCGACCACCAGTTGAAGTCGGCCGCCGGCTTGCCAAGTCGGCGGCATTGCAGTGGCGCCGTGCAAGTCGACCAACCCCGTCGACCAGCTTGTCCAAGTCGGCGTCGCCCACTGCTGCAAGTCGGCTGTACCTTCCGTACACCCCACCACGAAGTCGGCTCCGCCCAAGCGTGGACGGGGCCAGCACACAACTCCCGTTGACAGATAGGACTCGGCCGGCTTCGGGCGGCGATGGGCAAGGAAGACCACTCATGCTTTGCTACGGTGTTCGACGCCGACGTAGCTGTTATCCCTCTGCATTCGAGGTGAGCCTAAGTCATGATGGTGTGCCATGATGCCTATGTCGCTGCTCCGTTCTGATCGACGTCGTGGTGCCTAGCCTGTGCACCATCGCACCGCTTCCAGGAGCACATTGCAGCGTCGTGGTCATCCTGTACCCCGGCGACTTGTTGCGGGCCGGGGGGGAGACGATTAGGACCTCGGTCCGGCACTTTGACCCGCAAAACGTGAAGCAGTGGCACCGCCACGAGGCGATCCGCGTGCTGAAGTGAGCTCGATAGTGTAGTCGACGACGCATGCAATTTCGCCACTGGGCGTTAAGCAAGTCTACTGACGATATGTGCCATGTTGCTTCAGGTTTTTCCGGGCGGCGGTGCTGGCCGAGCTCGGCTGCGATGGCCGGCAGTGGGAGTGGCCGAAGCCTTCTTCTGAAGGGGTGGCGGACAGGCTCGCCGACTGCGATGAACCCGTTTGAGATGTGAGTACCGATCGTTTTACCGTCCTAGCGCGATGCCATTGCCGCCGTCGGTGCTCATCCTTGCTCTCTGGTCTGTTGTTTGCAGAAAGTGCGCGACACCGTCCGGGACAGCGACGTGGGCTCTGGCCTCCTATCAATCAGCGCGCTGTGCTGGGTGGTGAAGAGGATGGATCGCCTGACCAGCGACGACCGTCGCAGTGCGACCAGCATGGACAAGGTCCTCGTTTCGGGGTTGAAGGAGCTGCGGATTTGGATGATCACATTCATCAAGGAACACGTCGCACGCAAACGGTCAGGCCATGTCGGAGTTGCTGCCGACGCCTGTGACGACGACGCCGCTGAGCCCCCTTCGGCATCCCAAGCAGTCGGTGTCGCCGACACCAGCGGAGAGGCCGGAGACGGTGACGACAAGGTAGATGAGGAGGCAGAAAGGGCTGTAGCGAGGACTGCGGATCAGGAAGAGGAGGAGGAGGAGGATGACACCGATGATCAGGATGATAACGAGGAGGAGCGTGAGGAGCGTGAGCAGGGGCATGGGCAGGAGGAGGAGGAGGAGGAGGAGGAGGAGGAGGAGGAGGAGGAGGAGGAGGAGGAGGAGGAGGAGGAGGAGGAGGAGGAGGAGGAGGAGGAGGAGGAGGAGGAGGAGGAGGAGGAGGAGGAGGAGGAGGAGGCGGCGGCGGCGGCGGAGGCCGTGGAGCAGGGTTTAGGGTCCGTGGAGCAGGCGGCGGAGGGGGAGAAGCAGCAAGAGGGGGAGAAGGAGGTAGAGTTCCTCTGGGTCGAATTCGAGATGGAGGATGTTGAGGGAGCGGCGGCGTTGGCCGTGGATGTCGGCGGATGTTGTGTACGAGGGAGGGGAGGGTGCCAATGTGGAGAATGTCGGCGTGGAGGAGGCGCACGTGGCTGGCAATGTGGTTGGCGACGCAAAGGAGGAGGATAACGCCGCGGCCCCGACGCCGACGGGCGTGGAGACCACCACAGGGAACGCAGGGGTGGAACGCCGGTGTGGTGCGGTAGAGGCGGGCCGTCAACCGGGTTCCTCGGCAGCTGGTTGGTAGGCAATGCCGGTCGTCGTCGCGCAGCTGCGACAGGAGAACAGGTGGCTGAGGGCTGAAAATGCTCGTCTAGAGATGGCGCTCGGAGTGGAGAGGGGTCGGGTGGACAGGTTTGCGATGGGGATTGGCCGCCTCGTGGACAAGCTCAGGTCGTTGGCCGACCAGGTTGCCGCCTCCGACCAGGTTGCGGCGAGTCGGTTGATGGACACGTCCTTGACCATGGCGACGACCGTCACGGAGAACATCACCGCCAACATGGGTGAAGCATGGGATGCGATGAAGGCGTACGCCGAGAGGGCGGAGTGCTGGTTGGACGATCTAGAGGATCCGGAGGGGTTTATGGCGGTGCAACGTGCGAACGCGGTCGTCGCCATGGGCAACCACGTCGACGAAGCGAGGAAGGGGTTGGAGGAATACATATCGAAGCACCTAGTCGCCGCACAGACCAACATCGCCGCCGCAGTAACTCGTCGTGCCGCCGCCCACGCCGCCCGCCCCACCGCCAGCCTTCCCAGATGAGCTCATGAAGTCTTTCAAGGCGGACGTGTTGAAGGCGGTGACTGAGGCCACCCAGCAGTCGTTTCTTGCGTCCAAGTTAAACCTCATGACCGAGGTGATCGGAAATCTGGCGCCTGGTCGGCTTGGGTCGTCGCCGTCGGCCAACGAGGCCGACAAGAAGGGTGCGAAAAGGGCGGGCGGCGGAGATGATGCGTTGAGCTCGAAGCGGAGCAAGGGAGCCGATGGGAGCCGCGGCGTCGGCCAGGTGGGTCCAGGCGGCTCGCGGAGCAAGGGAGCCGATGGGAGCGGAGGTATGAGCGTGGTCGACCAGCTCAAGAAGAACGGGGCCAAGGTGATAAGGACGCACAGCAAGGGCGATGGAATCAGGAGTGCGGAGGGGGGCCCTACCGACCAGGTTGCCACTCAAGAGGCTGGACCAACAGCCCCGCCATTGGTCGCCGAGAAGCCGGCCAGTCTAGCGACCGCACCAATGGCGATAGACGGCGGCGCCAAAACCGTCAAGGGACCGTGTGGCGGAGTGGCGGGGACCACGTCGATTCCCCGCAAACCCCCTGCAGCTAGCAGCCCGCCGGTCGCCCCGTCAGCCGCCAACAACGATGGGCCGTCCCTTGCGGCTACTCCAGCACCAGCAGGCACGTCTGCCGCCAAGGTTGACGCGGTGGATGCTGCGGCTAACCGCACTGGTCCGTCCGCCCCAAAGGCGAACGCGCTCAGGGAAATGCTCCGCCGCATGGAGACCCATCGACCGGACGTGCAGCAGCCTCCCGTGGTCGGTACCGCGCCGGCCACAACAGCACGTCGCTCGGTCACTCCGCAGGTCGCCGCCACAACGTCCAGTGCCCCACCTACCGCGCCTATCATCGCCGCCCGTCCTCCTGTGGACCCAAAGTCCGCCTTGCTTCGCGCCCGGTTAGGCGCACGTACTGCGGCAGCGCCAGCACGGGCTCAGCCGGTAGCCAGCTCAAGCGCGACGCCGACGTCGGTAACCGAAGCTGCACCCACACTCGGTGCAGCTACTGTCGAGGCGGTGGTGGAGAAGGGCGTGAGTGCAGCGCTAGCCACGGGCGGCGGATCAGTGGACCCTGCACAGGCGACAAAGGACCACAACGACGCCGATATCGCTGCCATCCAGGACCTGTTGGAAGCGGTAAACCGCCCCAAGCAGCCCCCTGTTCTGGCCATCTCGAACTCGGCGCATGTGGAGCACTCGGTGAGTCCCACCGGTAGTATAGCAGAGCCAAAGACGACCACTACTGCGGTCGGCGCGGGAAAGTCAAAACGGAAGGGGACGGTCGACGCAGGGAAAGCGAGGCTGAGCTCGCAGAAGAAAACACGGGCGACGTCGGCGATGGTGAAGTCGGTGGAGAAAGGACAGGGGATGGCGACGGCGATGGTGGAGAAGGCGACGGAGAAAGGGAAGGAGAAGGGGAAGGAGAAGGAGGAGAAGGAGAAGGAGAAGGAGGAGGAGGAGGAGGAGGAGGAGGAGGAGGAGGAGGAGGAGGAGGAGGAGGAGGAGGAGGAGGAGGAGAAGAAGAAGGAGAAGGAGACAGAGGAGGAGGAGAAGAAGGAGAATGAGAAGGAGGAGGAGGACAAGGAGAAGGAGAAGGAGGAGGAGGAGGAGGAGGAGGAGGTGGAGGAGGCGGAGGTGGAGGAGGATGAGGAGGAGGCGGCGACAGAGGAGGAGAAGGTGAAGGTGAAAGAACGAAAGGGTCATGGCATCCGCCACGACACCACGGGCGACAAGCAAGGGTGGGTGGGCGAGATTAAGGTGGTCGGGAACGAGAGTAGATACATCGGCAAGTCCCGCGAGAAGATGGAGCTTGCTTACCTTCACTCGATTGTGTACCTCCTGTACGACGGTTACGTCAGCAAGATCCTCATGGCCGAGCTCACCGGCTTGGAGGAAACAGTGATGAAGCAGTGGAGGGCGGTGTGGGAGGAGGTCTGGTTCTTGCCGACTGGGATGTGGACGGTGATATGGGCACGGGGCGCGTTCCTCCCAAAGACACGGTAAGTCGGATACACGTCAGCCAAGCGATGATGTCGACGTCGGCGTTCCTAATGGTTGTCCACTTTCGTGTGATTGCGTGACGGGTTCGATGATATCCTCGGGAAGTATCGAGCTTACAAGACATCAGGCGATGCGCACCACGACGCGCTTTTGCCCGCGATCTGGTTTCCCGTCGATGCCGACACGAAGGAAGGGAAGGAGAAGTCGGATGCAATGATGTCGGCCATGATTGATCGCGTGCCCTTGTGCGCTGCGTATGGGAAAGTCGCTGCATCCGCGGCGAGAAAGAAGGGCGACACGGATCAGACGACGGCGAAGGTCGCACTGGCGCTATCGGCCTCCGCTTGCGCCCTGTGGTGCTTAGTCGAGGGCGACGGCGCCCAGGTGGCTGATGCAGTGCGCGAAGGGAAGGCGGCGGCGATGGTGGTCGGCGCGAGCGAGACTACCGCCGCCGAGTTCAAGAATGTCATGACGGCGGTGCTAGAGGCCGCGATCAGCAGGCAGCAACCCCTCAGGGAGGTTGCGCATAACGTCGCACCGGCGCCGGAGTCTACCGCTCTGGCTAAAGCCTACCCAGGGTTGGATGTTGAAGCCGAGGCCAAAGTGATCGCACGAGCGACGGTGGAAACCCTCGTGTTCTGGGGAATGTGCCCCGTGGATGGGCCAAAACTCAAGAAGATCGGCATCGTGGTGCCGCTTGACGCGTAGATGGAGTACGGTATCGAACACACGGGGAGGAAGAGGCAGAAGGGCAAGCAGGGCAAGGACAGCTCGAAGAAGAAGGGGAAGAAGGGCAGAGCGGGCAAGGACAGCACGGCGGCGTAGTCGGCATAATAATCTGCCATGGGCGGCAGGAGGGAGCGCACGTGTAGTTTTCATTGGGATTGTTTTTCGTTTGTGGTTGCGTATTTCTCTTGTTGGCTGTAACTTTTTGGTAGTGCATGTTACTAGAACACTCCTCGGCAAGGTCGGCCTGATCGCTACCATGTTACTCAAATGCGACATTGCGATGAACCCCGTCGGCGTATAACAACTTGGCGTCATACAGTGTCGACATAGTGCGTCTGGCTGTATGCATGTATATACTCGGCGATGAGCCTCGTCGGCCAGACCGAGATGGTTAATGGTCGGCGCTTTGGGGAATGTGCCTCGCCGCCCAGGTGGCCGAAACTCGAGGAGGTCGGCATCGATGTGCCGTTTGACGCGCATATCGAGCGGGCATGGACAGCACGAATGCGTAGTCGGCGCGCGGAGGAGGTGCTAGGTGGTATGATTGCTCGGTTATAGTGTGATCGGCGGCGTTTGCATGCATGTAACTTTTTGTAAGTGCAGTCAGCGATGTCGACATGAATACCGTATTCTCCCGGATAAAACACCCTAGGGTATTATGAAAACCACTGGAAAAAAATGGGGGGGGTCTCTTCAAAGGAAAATCCTATATAATACCCGAGTCTTATGATATGGTATATTATTTTATATAACAGAAAAGATGTGAAACAAAATCAGAGGTCTGACTTCACTTCAAGATTGTTAATCAATGCCGCAAAACCGAGTACGAGGATATTGTAGGCCACTCGGGCCACTTCACCTCTTGGACCACTTGCAGTGGAAGATTCGCCAGCGACAGCGAGATTTTGGGATTCACCAGCGTGGCGACAGCGAGATTGTGGGAGGGGGGATATTTCGGCTGATTCTAAGTGAAAGTACATGCGAAATTTCTTATAGGGAGTGATTTTCACGATATCCGCCCGTAAGGAATCGGACTCGATAACAGCTATAATATGAATCTACAAGAAAATGGGGCGTGTTATAGAGAATCACCATAAGAAGGGGGGTATAGTACTAACGGGGTCGGATATAACACCCACCCCGTATTAGCTACCCGGGGGTGTACAATTACGGGGGGGGTGTTTTATCTGGGAGAATACGGTAAGACACAAAGAATTGCACACATATGGTGGCGACTATGTCGGAGTCCGACATATCTGGTTCGGATCAGGGCCCACGACATCAGGGCAAAACATCCTGATTACCCTGATTTCAGGATGATGTTTTAAATTTGCCCTGGAATTTCAGAATGACGGTGAACTTTACCCTGTGACGTTAGGATGATTCATGTGTTTTGCCCTGAAATTGCAGAATGGCAGTGAAATTTTTTCCTGAAGCGTTAGGGTGAATGTAGAGGGATGCCCTGACTCGTGGAAAGGGGAAGAAAGGGTGGAGGGAGGGAGAGGGGGATAGGGGAGGAGGGAGGCTGAGGGGTGGGTATGCTAGTTTTGTCTCTCCCCCCCCCCCCCCCAAGGTTTTTGTTTAGCCCATTATAGTGAAACCACTGAACAACCTGCTCCTCTTATGGCTTCCCTTCCCCTCCACTCTAGTGTCTTGTATTCTTTTGCCCTGAAACATCCGGATGAATTTCTGCTGGTGCCCTGAAACTTCAAGATTGCGAGGAATTTTTGCCTTGAAAAATCAGGGCATTTTGGAGAGCTTTCAAAAGTTGCCCTGAGGGCTCAGGGTGTCCTAAATCATAGCATAGGCCCTAGTTCGGATGTATGTGTTGGATCATGTATGTTCGTGTTGTATCACCATCAACATCTACGATGGGATCACTACGGTTTGTTCAATTAGGGCATCATCAACCTACGCTAACACATATGCGCCGAGGATCTTCATGCCGACTTCTTGCGCTTTGTCGGAGGACGCTGCGCAGGTGCGCTCTTCTTGGCCAAGTCGGCCACGGTCTTCGGCATCTGCACCTCCCAGGTGTCTGGAAATAGGCGGTCGACCCACGTCCTCGGCTTCAGCTCGAGCGCCACCAGCGCACAGGCGAGGCGTAGCTTTAAGACCACCTTGGGGGCAAGCCCCTTGACGCCCATGCCAGGGTCCCTGGACATCGTCGGTGCCGTCACCGGGTTTAGCACCGTGAGGGCATCGCAGATTGTCCCAATGCCCGGTGCCGCGATCGTGTTGAGTGCATCGACCACGGCTTCGGTGTCGGCATCGCCGTCGCTCGCGCGTAGCTAGCGCACCGCATCCATGGCCTTCAGCATACGGCGCACCCTCATGTTGAGTGCACCCTGCGTCGCGTCTTTGAGGAGGGTGTGGCGGTCGATGAACCCCGGCTCGGCGACCCTGTCGCAAGAAGACGGGTGTCATTGGCGGTGACAGAGTTCCAGAGGCGCCAAGCGTCCAGCACGGTCTTTGCCTCCTGCCAGGGTTGCACCACGTTGAGCTCGTAACTGACCTCCTCTGCTGTCTAGGGGGGGTGACGGGGGTTTCCCATCATCTCTCTTGGCTCCGGTCCCCGTGTTGGCCGAATCCGCGGAGCCACCCTCGTTCGCAGCTTACTCGGTCGCCGACGGCATCCTCCGGGCTTCTGACACACGGAGTGCCTCGGTGACTCGAGCAAGCTCGGCGGTGAGCGACGCGATGGTGTCGTTTTGCATCTTGATCGTCTCCTGAAGGCCTAGCTTCTCGAGCGCCGAGCACTCGACCTCCTTCTTCAACGCCTCCTTGAGGGTCATGTTGTCATACTGGGTGTCCATGCGGACGGATATTTTCTGCAATGTTGAGTGTGCGAAAAGACGACAAGAGGTTAGAATTCACCGGTATTCGAACGACGCCGACATGGTCGGCAACTCACCTCCGGCTGAATCTGAGTCGGGTCCCGGCGCTTTTTGATCGTATCGGTGTCGACCGACTCGACCCTTTTCGCTCAGTGCTGGAAGAGGGCAATCTTGCAGAGCTTGGAACCTTGGACGTACGGGTGTTACGGTGTGCGGACGAGCCTGAGCGTGAGCCATCCCCGAGCCTGAGTTCAGACCATTAGGTTCGGCAGGGTTACCGAGCCTCAAGCTCCAATCGGCAGGGCAGCAAGGAAGCGCAGCAGAATGAGACCCTAGCAACGGCAAGGGACCAGATTTGACTTGCTTATTTTGCAAAGGTTTATCCACTCCTGTTGTTCTCCCATCTGTTTTCCGTCCATCTCCTGCCATCAGCTCCCCCTCTGTCCCATGTGCCACTCTCCTCCAAAGATCAGCCAGACTAGCAGATGAGAGCACTAGCAGCTGAGCCTCATTGGCTAGCGAGAGAGAGGGGGAAGAGGAGGGAGAGGGGGAAGAGGAGGGAGAGGAGGAATAGGAGTGGGAGGAGGATGCGGATTGGGAAGATTCGTTACGGCTGGATTGATTTTCACTGATCTGATTGGTTCTGGTGTTGTCCTGACTGCTGAGGATGCTTCTAGGCAGCTTCTTCTGCTGGCGGGCGTGCGGTAGGAGCCTCACAAGCTGACATGGCGTGCCGAGAGCGGCGGAGAGCCAGGCTGCCACGTCAGCAGGGTACACTGCCACGTGGACGCTGGTGTGGATGATAAGGGGACAACACGATGGAGGAGATGGAGTGAGTGAGTGAGTGAGTGAGCGAGTGAGCAAGTGAGTGAGTGAATGAGTGAGTGAGTGAGAGAGTGATTGAGTGAGTGAGAGACGAGTGATGGGGAATGAGAGCGCGTGAGTGAGGAGAGTAATTGAAAATGAGGGACCTTTCCATCATGCAAAGACACACATGTGTGACACGGGCATGCCCATGTACGTGTATCTAAGGCACCATGATGCTTGAGTATTCTCAAACATATCTTGCAAGGATACATGTGTCTCTAAAGACAGAACCACGTATAGTTGAATTTGTCTTTAGACGTCTCAAGATCAACGTGATGCCACGGAAACAGAGATTACCACACCCAGCCCCACACTTGTCACCGCACATACGCACCCCATCCAGCCTGGCAAGTATGCTCCAGCCCATACACATGCACACGCAGCCACAGTCACAGACACAACCATACCCAGCCATGCACCTGTCACCGCACACTCGCACCCATCCAACCTGGCGTCAGGCCACGTGTCAATGGGCAATTGGAGGTGAGACAGGGCCGAAAGTCAGTACTCTCATACACACCGTGAACACCCATACACAACCACATACACCCATCCACATCACACCCAGCCACACATCTGTCACCACACACTTGCACCCTATCCACCCTACCATGTCTGCTGCAGCCTATGAACATAAATGCATGTCAAGACACCCATACACGCGTACACCTCTATACACCCATATACACCCATCCACACCACACCCACCCACGCACCTGTCACCGCACACTCGCACGCCATCCAGCCTGGCATCAGGCCACGTGTCAAGAGGTAATTGGAGGGGAGACTGGGCAGGAGGAGAGCCTTGGGGAGTAAGGTGGATGGAGAGGAGGCGTGAAGCGAGGTTGATGGATGGGCGGAGGGTGTAGAGTGAGGGGACCTGATTGTAGGGAGGGTGGAGGAAAGAAACAAAATGGGAAAGTTCTGATGACTCAGGTGGATAGAGGAGGCGTGAAGCGAGGTCGATGGATGGGCGGAGGCGGTAGAGAGATGGGACCTAGCCGTGTGGCGGGGTTGTGGGGGTGGGGAGAGAGGAGGAGGCGAAATGAGACACTTTTGAGGAGCCAGGTTGATGGAGAGGAGGTGAGAGATGAGGTGATGGATTGACGGAAGCGGTTGAAGGAAGGATCCTTATTGTGTGGGGGAAGAAGGGGGGTGCAGAGGATGTGCGGTGACATGCGGTGACCTACGGTGACGTGCGGTGAAGCGCGATGAAGTGCTCATCCGTTTGGGCCTAAAAAGGAGCACCCATGAATCATGAGAATGCTAGTTGTTCAGTGCTCTGCTCACCCAGCTGGCCCTCAACGGTATGCCCAACCCAAGGGCCACTCCCAGGGGCACTGATGTTGTGCCACTCAGGGAGGTTCAGTGCGGTGCAAAGCAATCGGATGGGGATTGGAGGCAGCAAAGAGAGAGGAGATGCTACTTCTGGCAGTGTTGGCTGCTCAGTGCTCACCCTGTTGGGCCTCAGTGGAGCGCCCATGGGATTGATGATAAACCATTCCAGGAGGTGCAGTAAGGTGCATAAGGGTGGGATGTGGAGGCAATAAAGAGAGTGAGTGCTACTGCTGGCAGTGTTGGCTGCTCAGTGCTCACCCTGTTGGGCCTTTGTGGAGTGCCTATAGGGTTGATGATAAGCCATTCCCGGTCATGCAGCAGACCTGATGGTATGGGAGGGTGGCATGGGAGGGTGGTATAGGAGGGTGGCATGGGAGGGTGGCATGGCATGGGTGGCATGGGATGGCATGGGATGGCATGGGATGGCATGGGTGGCATGGCATGGCATGGCATGGAATGGCATGGGAATTACCAGTGGATCCAACGAAGTGGCCATGCTTCCACTCGCAAGGGATCACAGGACACACAACTCAATGCATGCTATACAGCAAACTATTACCCCTAACCACACTATACCGCTCTATACCTTCAAATATCAGGGACTCACCCATGGGTCCAAGAGGCCATGCTCCGACTCGCATGGGAGCACAGGCCTTGATCGGATACACAAACAGCCCCTTTACAGTCACACTCCGTGCAGGCACATCTAAGCAGCAAAGCACTATTTCTAAACTCTGAAGGCGGACGCACCAGTGGGCCCCAGCGGCCATGCTTGCGCTCGCATGGGAGCACACGACCTGATCGGATACACAAACAGCCCCTCTTTAGTCACACTTTGTGCAGGCGCACGTGCTCGCGAAAGATTCTCCTTAGCCACATCTGCTTGTGCAAGCTCCTCCCGATGCTCCAAATGGCTTGCTATTCCATTAGTGAAACGCCCTATATCCAGCTTCTTCTCGGCAGCAGCAACAGTAGCAACAACGGCTGTAGCGGCAGTAGCAGCAACAGCGGCTGTAGCGGCTGTAGCAGCAACAGCGGCTGTAGCGGCTGTAGAAGCAGATACAGAAGAGGAAACGGCAGCGGTGGCAGCGGTAGCGGCAGAAGCAGCAGAGGCAGCAGAGGTGGCGTGCTGAGGTGGAGTGTGCTGACGTGGCAGCTCCACAAAGCACGTTTGGATGAAGGAGAGGAACGCCTGCAGCATTTGGACAATGGGTGCGTGTGAGAGGTTTGCGTTGGGAATTTGAGACACCTCAACAATTTGAGGCGTCTCAAAGCTCCACAAAGCATGTCTGGATTAAGGAGAGGAAGGCCTGCAGCATTTGGACAACAGGTGCGGGTGGGCGAGGGGGGTTTTGTGTTGGGGCAGACAGTGGGGTTTCGGGTTTGCATCGGGCAGAAGAGGAGGATGCAACAAGGCCAGGAAAAAAAAAAGATTATTTCAGATGACAACGATCTTTTATCAAATATATATATATAAAAACTGAAAAAAAATGGAAAAAGAAAAAGAAAGAGGTGAATAGCAGTGGACAGGAAACTTTTGACAGAAGTATTGTTGAAAGGAAATTTGATGGACAAACAGGCACTCAACTTAATCCAAACGAGCTCCGCATCGGCGGCAAAAGTTGACAGGTGTCCAAACGAGATATAGCTGAAGAAACAGGCACTCAACTCTGCCCAGCTCACCTTCACGTCATCAATGGTTGACAGGTGTCCAAAGAAGATCCGCACGGCGCCAGTCGGCCGCCCGGCAATCACGTCATTGTCATCCCAGCACACGTGCCCCGCCTCATAGTTTTCGAGGAGTTGGGCATGAGATAAGCGCAGGTGCTTGGCACAGGCTCCTGGGTTGCAGAAGCAACCAGTCTGTTGCATGGGGGAACAAGAAAAAGAGGAAGAATGGTGATGGGATTGCAGTAGCCAATCACGTCGTTGTCATCCCAACACACATGCCTCGCCTCCGTAATTTTGGCGGAGGTGGGAGTGGGAGAGGCGCAGGTGCTTGGCACAGTCTCCTGTGTTGCAGAAACAACCGGTCTGTCGCATGTGGGAGAGGGGAGAAAGGGACTGATCGGAAAAATCACGGCGTCAGTCGGCCGCCCGGCAATCACGTCGTTGTCGTCCCAACACACGTGCCCTGCCTCGTAATTCTCGAGGAGTTGGGAGTGGGAGAGGCGCAGGTGTTTGGCACAGGCACCAGGGTTGCAGAAACAACCAGTCTGGTAGATAAGGGGGGAGGTGGGTGTGAAAGGGTGGTTTGGAGTGGAGCAATCACATCGTTGTTGGGTGTTGAGCAGCAAATATGTCACAGTTGGTAGTTTCTCACCTTTGGTCTTAGAGGTCGTGGGTTCAACTCTCAGCAGCTGCACTTTCCATTCTCATTTGCTCACCATCACATGTCCACACTCCACCACTCAAGTACCGAGCATGGGTGAGTGTCGTGGAGTGTAGACATGTAATGGTGAGCATAATGAGAATGGAAAGTGCAGCTGCTGAAGAGATGAACCCACGACCTCTAAGACCAAAGGTGAGAAACTACGCACTGGGAAATACTTGCTGCACAACAGTTGTCATCCCAGCACACGTGCCCCGTCTCGTAGCTTTGCACACAAGTGAAGGTGCTTTGCACAGACGCACGGTTTGCAAAAGCAACTGGTATGATATATGGGAGAAGAGGGGAGGATAAGAATTGATGGCAAAAGCAACCGGGTTATATAGTGTTATCCCAGCAATCGGGCGCGCACTTCATTCGGAGATGGATGGCCGCTAGCTTCTCAACCTCCTTATGCCCCACCCACCACCCATCGCTGCGACTAAGATCCGTCAACTGCTATGGATATGCATGCATTTGCTGCTACTTCTTGTTACTAGGAGTTGAATGTTGGGGATGCCAGCTAGCTTCTCCATCTCCTGGTGTCCCATCCACCACCCATGCTGTGCCTCAGGTTGAATCCGACTTTAGAGGTCAAAAGCATACATACCCGGAGATGAATGCTGTGGATGGCTGCCAGCTTCTCCACCTCCTTGTGCCCCACCCACGACCCATCACTGCGCTTCAGGTTAAACGCCACCACCCCCCCCTGCTGCTTCAACACTGCCTCTCGTTCCTCCTCTCCTCCCTGCAAATCCACCACTCCATTCTTCTCAATCGAATCAGAAGTCTCTCGCCTCTCCCGATCCACGACTCTGCTCTTATCAAGATGCAGCAACAAGGCCCTGTGCTTTCCATACACGACGCAAACGGGCTGGCCGTTGCAGTGCCGGAGGGAGAGGAGGCGAGAGGCGGTGAAGAGTGCAAGAAACGAGACGTGGCTGTAGGGGTTGAGGAGGCAACAGAAATGGAGGGGAAAGCAAGTGTTGAGACGCCTCAAGACTCTGCAGCAGCAGCAGCAAGAGGCGGTGAAGAGTGAAGAGGAGACGTGGCTGCCTATGGGGTGGCTAAGATCCCAGCCGTCCCTCACCTGTCCTCACCTGTGCGAGCCCTCACCTGTCCTCACCTGTGCGAGCCCTCATCTGTCTGAGACCCCCCTGCGCGCCATCGCCCATAAGCAAACCAATTCTCTCTGCTCAGCTGTGAGGAGAGGTGATAGACCAGGGCGAGGCCCGGAGGGAGCTCTGCTGCGAGGTGGAGGAAGGGGAGAGTACCGTGCTCCCATTGTGCTTCTAAGAGTACAGGCTGGTAGCAAACAAACACCAAGAACAGGAGGCATAGACTGGGTGATAAGGACTCACCGTTGGATGGTGGAGAAGGGGAGACAGGAGACCAGAGCAAGGCCTGGAGGGAGCTCTGCCGCGAGCTGGAGGAATGGTAAGGGCTCACCGCTGAATGGCAGAGAAGGAGAAGCGTGAGACCAGCGCGAGGCCCGGAAGGGGCTCTGCTGCTAGCTGGAGGAAAGGGAGAGGAGAGTGCCGTGCTCCCACCTACTCTGACTCGAAAATACAGACTCGCAACAAACACCAGGAGGGGAGGGGCGCGATGCTCACCGTGGATGGCAGAGAAGGAGAGGCGGGAGACCAGGGCGAGGCCCGGAGGGAGCTCTGCTGCTGCGAGACCAAGGGCAGAGTGCCGTCCTCCCACTGTGCTTCCAGGAAAACAGGCGGGTAACACAGTTTTCCCACCAGGAGGCATCAACTGGGTGATCACGGCTCTCCATTGAATGTTCGGGGCTCACCGTTGTATGGCAGAGAAGGAGAGGCGGGTGACCAGGGCTAAGCCTGGAGGGAGCTCTGCTGCGAGCTGGAGGAAGGGGAGAGTGCCGTGCTCCCACTGTGCTTCTAGCGATGGGCGCAGAGAGACAAAGTCGGAGTCTGCAAACACTGCTGCCACGGTGCCTGTGAGGGGGGAGGGGGGGGAAGAGGGGTGAGAGTGCTGGAGAAAGGATGTGTCGAAGGGGAGAGGTGGAGGAAAGGCTGGGTGCCGTCCTCCCCCTGTGGTTCGAGTGATGAGCGCAGAGAGACAAAGTCAGAGTCTGCAAACACGTTGCTTGTAAAGGGGAAGGGGAGGGACGGAGGGAAGGAGAGACAAAAGGTTGTGCCGAAACAAGGGATGTGGAGGAAAGGGAGTGTGCACTGTGAAGTACTCCCTACGTGCTTCTAGTGATGACAACTATCACATGACTGTTAATGAGCGCACGCTACTCGCCGTACCTCCACTGAAGTAGGGCTTGTGGAGGATGAAGGCAGCATCTGAATGAGAGGGGCACAAGTTGCCATGCAGAGTCATCATGCTACTTGCTACTAGCCCTGTCACCTCTGCTACCACTGTCACCGTGTCATTCACATGCCACCGAGCGCATGCTACTCGCCGTACCTCCACTGAAGTAGGGCTTGTGGAGGATGAAGGCAGCATCTGGGAGTGAGAAGAAAGAGATATGCACAGAAAGTCGGAAGAGGAGGGAGACAAGGGATGAGGATGAGAGAAAGGCAGTTAGTTGAAAGATGGGATCAAGGGTTGCGGGAAGATGAGATGAGGCATAGAAAGAAGCACCTGGGAAGAAGCATATGAGAAGCAAGAAGCATACGGGAAGGAAAGTGAGAAGCATCTGAGAAGAAACAGTGAGGTATGGTGAAACAGTGAGGTATGGTGAAACAGTGAGGTATGGTGAAACAGTGAGAGAGGAGGGGGGAAGTGCAAGAAGCATACGGGAAGGGAAGTGACAAGCATCTGAGAAGAAGCGTGTAAGAAGAATGAAGCATATGAAAGGAAGAGGACATACATACCTCGCCGGATGATAAGCGCCCCAAGCCCTGTAGGAAATCCAAAGATCTGCTTATAGCGGGACAACAAGGGTGAAGGCGAGAGATGGTTTGGTTACCACTTGGAGTGAGGAGCTGTAAGGAAGCGCTAGTCAGGTAATGAGGCAGAGAGAAGAGAAGTTAGCAGAGAATCACAATGACAGAATGATGAGGGGATAGGAGGGAGTATGGAGAAAAGGAAAAACGGGAAGTCAGGAGGCTGCCACGCACCTTGTAGAAGGAGAGTGTGACAAAGTTAGCAGGGCAGTGGGTGGTGTGGAAAGGTGGAGAGGGGTGGAGAGAAATGAAGAGGGGTAGAGACAGCCCACCCACCATGTAGAAGGAGAGTGCAACGAAGCCCGCAGGGGGCAGTGGGAGAGGTCCGGAGGGCGGGAGGCATGGAGAGGATTCAGAGGAGGGGGCATGGGGAGGAGGGGGCATGGGGAGGAGGGGGCATGGGGAGGAGGGGGCATGGGGAGGAGGGGGCATGGGGAGGAGGGGGCATGGGGAGGAGGGGGCATGGGGAGGAGGGGGCATGGGGAGGAGGGGGCATGGGGAGGAGGGGGCATGGGGAGGAGGGGGCATGGGGAGGAGGGGGCATGGGGAGGAGGGGGCATGGGGAGGAGGGGGCATGGGGAGGAGGGGGCATGGGGAGGAGGGGGCATGGGGAGGAGGGGGCATGGGGAGGAGGGGGCAACCCACCTTGTAGAAGGAGAGTGCAACGAAGTCAGCGGGGCAGTGGCATAGGTCCGGAGGGTCCGAGGGAGCAGCTTTGGCAGCATCAAGAAGCACCAACCAGCGCCGAGGAAGAGCGGGAGAAGAAGCGCCTTCACTACTGGATACACCACCACCACCACTGCCACTAGGACTCCTACTACTCTCATCAGCAGCAGCTTTGGCGGCATTGAGAAGCACGAACCAGCGCCGGGCAGAAGCGGTGGAGAAGGAGAGGGGTCGAAAGCGGGATAAGGATATCTCACCTTGTAGAAGGAAAGAGCAACAAAGTCAGCAGGGCAGAGCGAGAGGCCTGGAGGGTCCGAAGCAGCAGCTTTGGCAGCATCGAGAAGCACGAACCAGCGCCGAGGAAGAGCGGGAGAAGAAGAAGCACTTTCACCACTGCATGCACCATCACCACCACGACCAGTACGACTTCTACCACTCCCATCCCCACCACCACCCTCCCTATCAGCTTCGTGGCCACTTGTCAACCTGCCACTGCTCTCCGTGCGTACAGCATCTGTACCCTGGGCCTTCCCACCACCAGCACCCCTGTCAGCTCCACCACCAGTCGCCGCACCATTGCTATCGACCTGCCCTTGATCCTCATCTGCTGCACCGGATGTCCCACGACTTCCTCCCAGCCAACCCCAGAGGCCGCCCCATACTCTCTTGCTTGCAGGCAACTGCTGCTGCTGCTGTTGTTGTTGTTGTTGTTGTTGAGTTTGAGAGGCACCAGCAGTTGTTGTGCCATCCCCTCCCTTCTCTCTCCCTTGCTCTCTTTCCTCCTCAATTCCCTTCTCACTTCTCCTTTTCCCTCTCCCCCTGCCTCGTCTCCTACCATCACCGCTCTCCACTCCTCTGTCCTCCCGGCTCCACCCCTCCCACCCATCCAAACACCTCTCCTCCTTCACCGCCCGCACCACCCTCAGATCAAGCTTCTCGCCGCTAAGATTACTTTCTGCAGGCATTGCAAACAGGCATGGGACAAACGGCAACTCCTCCTGCCCCTCCTGCTTCTGCCTTCGCCGCCGCTGCTGCCGCTCCTCCTCCTTCCCTGCCCCTGAAAACACCTCTTCAGGCGGCTTTGAAACAGCTTCTTCCCGTCGTGCTGTTGGCGCTTTTGGTGCCTCGTGTTCCCTTGCCTTCCCTTCCCTTGCTGCCCGAGAGAATCGGTTCAGCAGGCGAAGGGACACCCCCTCTACCACCCCTCGAAGGACTGTGCCCTTAGGACAACCATCCACCATTCCATCCACCCTTCTACCCTTCCGATCCGCCGCTCGATGCTGTTTCATGCCCCCTGCCCTTGTATCCCTTGACAGTTGAGACGACTCAGAAGGCCTCTCATGCTCTGTTCTCACATCCCTTGACCCTGATCCTGCCTCTCCACCCCTTTTTCCCTCATGGCCCTTCTCCTCACTTCTTCCTCCTAAGCCAGTCCCACCTGCCCCAGTCCCACCTGCCCCAGTCCCACCTGCCCCAGTCCCACCTGCCCCAGTCTCACCCGCCCCACTCCCACTAGCTCCGGCCCCACCATCCCCAGCCACAGCTGGAGCAGCCACACCTGGCCGAACCTCCTGTCCAGGCTCGGAAACAGCCCTGCCATTCTGTGGTTCGGTCAGCACTGGTTCGGCAAGAACAGTGGAATCAGAAGGGTTGGTTTCAGCAAGTGCTGCTGCCCCCACAGGTTCAGGAGTCCTCACACTCACACTCGCTGCTGCTCCCCCCACAGGTTCACTTGTCCCTGCATTCGCATTCACATCTGCTGCTGTCCCCACAGGTTCACCTGTCCTCACACTCGCTGCTGCCCCTACAGGTTCACCTGTCCTCATACTCGCTGCTGCCCCTACAGGTTCACCTGTCCTCACACTCGCTGCTGCCCCTACAGGTTCACCTGTCCTCACACTCGCTGCTGCCCCTACAGGTTCACCTGTCCTCACACTCGCTGCTGCCCCTACAGGTTCACCTGTCCTCACACTCGCTGCTGCCCCTACAGGTTCACCTGTCCTCACACTCGCTGCTGCCCCTACAGGTTCACCTGTCCTCACACTCGCTGCTGCCCCTACAGGTTCACCTGTCCTCACACTCGCTGCTGCCCCTACAGGTTCACCTGTCCTCACACTCGCTGCTGCCCCTACAGGTTCACCTGTCCTCACACTTGCTGCTGCCCCTACAGGTTCACCTGTCCTCACACTCGCTGCTGCCCCTACAGGTTCACCTGTCCCTCCCACTCACAATCGCTGCTGCTGGCCCCACTGCTTCACCAGTCCGTGCATTCAAATTGACATCTGCAGCACTTAGGGGTTGCCGCACATTACCAGTACAACCACCGGCAGAGACTGCTTCAGCTTCCTTTCCCACCACATCACTGCGCTTGCTCCTGCTGCTGCCAGCTAACGCCAATCGAACCTTCCTCCTTCTCACCAACACTCCCACCGTTCCCTCCTCTTCCTCTTCTTCGTCCTCCTCATCCTCCTCCGCTTCTTCGTCCTCCTCTTCCTCTTCCTCCTCTGTTGCTCCCTTGCGCTTACTCCTGCTGTTCCCAGGTAAGACCACTCGAACCTTCTTCTTGCCACCTAACCTCACGCCCATCCTTTCCTCCTCCCCCTCATCCTCCTCTCCCTCATCCTCTTCTTCCTCTTCCTCTTCTTCCTCCTCTTCTTCTTCCTCTTCCTACTCTTCTTCCTCCTCCTCTTCCTCTTCCTCTTCCTCTTCTGTTGCTCCCTTGCGCTTACTCCTGCTGCTCCCATGTAAGACCACTCGAACCTTCTTTCTTCCACCTACCCTCACTCCTACTTTCCCCTCTTCTTCATCTTCTGCTTCTGATTCTTCCTCCTCCTTCTCATCCTCCTCCTGCTCCTCTTCCTCCTCCTCCTCCTCCTCCTCCTCCTCCTCCTCCTCCTCCTCCTCCTCCTCCTCCTCCTCCTCCTCCTCCTCCTCCTCCTCCTCTTACTCCTCTTCCACCTCTTCCTCCTCCTCCTCCGCCCCCTTACGTTTGCTCCTCCTCCCACGCAAAGCAAATCGGACCTTCCTCCCACTACCCAACCTCACACCCGCCCTCCTATCCTCTTCATCCTCTTCCTCCTCATCTTCATCCTCTTCCTCCTCTTCCTCCTCTTCCACCTCCTCCTCTGCTTCTTCTTCCTCCTCTGCTTCTTCTTCTTCATCCTCCTCTGCTCTTTCTTCCTCCTCCTGTTCTTCATCCTCTCCTCCCTCTTCTTCCTTAAATTCCTCCTTCATTATCCTCACTTCATCCACTCCCACCTTCTCCACTCTCCTCTCCTGTTTGTCATTTCCATTCTCACTCCCATTCTCACTCCCATTCTCACTCTCACTCTCATTTCCACTCTCATATTCACTCCCAGCCTCACTCCCACTCTCACTCTCATCCTCATCGCCCCCTTGTTCCTCCTCCTCTTCCTCCTCATCCCCCATATAGTCATCCTCATAGCGAATATCAACAACAGACACTGTAGCACCAGCTCTAAGAGCATACCTGCACACAGCAACACGACACAACACATCATTATTATCGCGCCACACTAACAGCATTGTTGTAAGCCATCTTATGGCAACCCAACCAACCCCCCTAAAAGGAAAACAAACAAACAACAACACAAAACTCGGTGTATCTGTGAGTGCATAGAATCCGAACTATTCTTCCTTTTGAGACGTCTCAAAAGAACTATTCTTACTCTCTGATCCCCAGCACCGAGTTGTGGTTGTCCAACGTCATTGCGAGCCGGCTGTCTGCCACCCACCTGATCAAAACATCCCCTCCTCTTCATCCATCTCCCTCTCCCAGAAACACTTTTCCTCTTTCTTCCTTACTCTCTGATTCCCAGCACCGAGTTGTGGTTGTCCACCGTCATTGCCAGCTCGCTGCCAGCCGCCCATGTCCTTCCTCTTCCCTCTCAACCCTCCAACCACCCTCCCATCATACTCTCCCCAGTCCTTACTCTCTGATCCGCAGCACCGATTTGCGGTTGTCCAGCCAGCGTCATCGCCAGCTGCTTGTCTGCCCCTCCATCCCTCCCTCTAAACCCAAAACACTCTCCGCTCCCACCCCTTCCAATCCTTACTCAACTCTCTGATCCCCAGCAACGAGTTGTGGTTGTCCGACTGTCATCGCCCCAGCTGCTTACTTGTCTGCCACCCATCTGAACACCCCTCCATCCACCCTTTGGCCCGACAGCACTGTCCCTCCTATTCCCCCCAAGCCTTACTCTCTCATCCCCAGCACCGAGTTGTGGTTGTCTAACGTCATCGCCAGCTCACTGCCTGCCACCCATCTGAACAACCCTCCATCCACCCTTTGACCCCACAGCACTGTCCCTCCAAATCACCAACGCCTTCCCCTCCTACACCCAGCACTTACTCTCTGATGCCCAGAACCGAGTTGTGGTTGTCCAGAGTCATTGCCAGCTCGCTGCCTCCCTGCTGCCCATGTGAACGCCCCTCCATCCACCCTTTGACCCCACAGCACTGTCCCCTCCCACTTTCCCACTCCTCTTACTCTCTGATCCCCAGCACCAAGTTGTGGTTGTCCAGAGTCATTGCCAGCCCAGTGCCTGCCGCCCATCTAAACACCACACCACACTGACTGACCCAGCTGGGTTTCCTCTTCATTACTCACTACGTGAGACTATCTTACTCTCTGATCCCCAGCACCGAGTTGTGGTTGTCCAGCGTCATTGCCAGCTCGCTGTCCGCCGTCCATCTGAATGCCTCGCCGACCGTTTTGAGTGCTGACGTGGCACCACTGGTAAAGACGCAAGCATACTGGGAGGGAGGTGCATTGCACATGGCTAGCACCTGAAGGGAAGGGGTGGGGTGATGAATCGAGAGTTGGAGAGTGGAACACAAACTAGTACAAATACAAAGGAGTGTCCATGAGAGTTTGCAGGACGTGGCAACACAGGTGAAGGCACAGCACAGTCGTAGCGGGGAGGGGCATTGCACATGGCAAGGACCTGAAGGGCAGCAGCGGTGATAGATGGAGAATGGGTGATAGAATGGGAGGATACGAGGCGTATGGATATGAATGGGTGTGTGTACGTCAACCTGCTTGGCATTCCTTTTTAAGTCAACTCAAATGTCCACCCAGAAGTCAGCTTGGGGTGCTAGTACGAGGCTTATGGACATGAATGGGTGTACGTCAAGTCAACCTGCTCGGCATTTCTTTTCAGTCGACGCCAACATCGATTCGAGAGTTAACCACTCACAAGTCGCCTTGGGATGATAAATGGAGATGTATGAGGTTAATGGATATGAAGCTGATCCTGGTTAGAGAGTGTCAGTCAACTGACAGCTGACGGACTAGACTGCCTATCTGCATGATTTTTGAGTTGACTCAAGATTTTGAGTCGATTTTTGAGTCGGCAAAACAATGACATGATCCTGGTTAAGGTGTAAGTCAAGTGATTACCTGCTTCCATTTCAAAGCCTGCCTACCTGCATGCGAAGTGATTCGATCACGTCAGACGTGGCCGCACTGCTGCTACTGGCGCTGTCGGTAACGAGAAAAAAAGGAACAGAGGGAATAGAGTGGGAAGGAATGATTAACGTGCAGACACGGAAGAAGAAAGGGGGGGGAAGGTGGGGAGGAAAATTCGGCCAATAAATGCACTGTTGCAAGCAGGAGGAGCCACGTACAAGAATGGGAAATCATTAGACAGGATTGGATGAGAGGGAGGGAGGGAGCTGAGAATACTTTTCCCTTTGCAATCACTGCAATGTGTGAGGGAGGGAAGTGAGAGAGCGAGGAGAGTGAAAGAACGAGGAAAGTGAGAAAGCGAGGAATGTGTTTATGGGAGGAGAGTGCTCACGAGGGTTGGAAAAGAGGGAACGAGTGAGGGCTCTGGTAGCTGCTGCAACCTGCGAGCGAGTGTATACTGCTGCTGCTGCATGGTCCAGATGCACACAGCCTGAGATGTTGTAGGGAGGGGAAGGAGGGCGGGAGAGAAGAGGTTTAGAGTTAGAGGAGAGCTGTTGCTAGTGCTGCGACATGCGCGCGAGTGTAAACAGCTGCTACATGGTCCAGATACACACATCCTGACATGCGGTGCATTGGGGAAGAGGGGGGGGAACAGATGAGGGAGGGAATGAGGGCTGATGTGCTGCTGCGAGCTGCGAGCGCATGTAAACTGCTGCTGCTGCATGGTCAAGGTAGACGCAGGCTGAGGTGCGATGGTGGATGGGAATGACGGGAGAAATCAGACAGTTTGGTGAGGGTTCTCGTGATTGTTGTGACCTGCGAGCGAGTGTACACTGCTGCTGCTGCATGGTCAAGATACACGCAGCCTGATGTGGTGCATGAGGAGAGGGGGGAAGAAAGGATGATGGAGAGATTGAAGGCTCTGGTAGCTGCTGCAACCTGCCAGCGTGTGTACACCACTGCTGCTGCATGGTCGCGATACACCCAGCCTGCAATATGGTGGTGAGAAGGTGGAGCGAGGAAAAGGGGCCAAAGAGAGTGAGGGCTCTGGTGGCTGCCTGCAATCTGCGAGCGTGTGTACACCGCTGCTGCTGCATGATCGAGGTACACGCAGCCTGGGATGTGGTGCACGGCGAGATACATGGGAGAAAGACAAGTTAGTGAGTGCTCTGGTGCACGCAGCCTGGGATGTGGTGCATGGCGAGATACATGGGAGAAAGACAAGTGAGTGAGGGCTCTTATTGCTTGCTGCTGTGACCTGCGAGAGTGTTTACACTGCTGCTGCTGCATGGTCGAGATAGACGCAGCCTGAGGTGAGTTGAAGGATGGGAGGAAACAAGGGAGAAAGACAAGTGAATGAAGGCTCTTGTTGCTGCTACGACCTGCGAGCGCCTGTATACTGCTGCTGCTGCATGGTCGAGGTAGACGCAGCCTGCAATATGGTGGTAGGAAGATGGAGCGAGGAAAAGGCCAGAGAGAGTGAGGGCTCTGGTGGCTGCTGCGACCTGCGAGCGAGTGTATACTGCTGCTGCTGCATGGTCCAGATAGACACAGCCTGAGGTGTGGTGTGGGGAAGGTGGAGCGAGGAAAAGAGGAAAGAGAGAGAGTGAGAGATGCTGTTGCTGCTGTGACCTGCGAGCGTGTGTATACTGCTGCTGCTGCATGGTCAAGATAGACACAGGGTCAAGATAGTTGGGGGAAGACAAGAGAGGGAGAGCTGCTGCGGCTGCTGCGACCTGCGAGCGTAAACTGCTGCTGTTGCTAGCACTGGCCGTAGCACCACCTTTCAGAAACGCAAGATAAGATTGCATTACTAACATGTAAATTGACCGATCACTGTTTTCACGCTCACCTTTCAGCTGGGGGCACTCCAAAGCCCTAAACTCCTCCACACTCAATCCCCCAGCCGTTGTAGCACCACTGGCTGTAGCACCAGCTGTGGTACCACCTTTCAGCAACAAAAGAAACGGTTATATCTATAGCATTGACCGTCCGTAGTTTTCACGCTCACCTTTTAGTTGAGGGGCATTCCAAAGCCCTGAACTCCTCCACACTCAAACCGCCTGTTGTAGCACCGGCTGTAGCACGGGCTGTAGCAACCATTCATTGTTCCCACACCCACCTTTCAGCTGAGGGCATTCCAAAGCCCTGAACTCCTCCACACTCAACCCCCCAGCTGTAGCACCGGCTGTCGCACCCGCTGTAGCACCACCAGCTGCATCAGCTCTAGCAGGAACACCCGAACCACCAGCACCAGCATCAACAGCACCAGCCGCAGCAGCAGGATGGGCGAACCTGTAACCACGCAGGTAACCACCAAACTCCCTTTCGTACTGCTCCCGTATCGAGAGTCCCTGACAGCCTCCTGCCTCGCAGCAGTCGGAAGAGAACACTTGCTCTTGAGAAGACTCGCCGACCAAAGGACCTTGCTGACACGATTCCTTCTCCTTCACCAAACGGGGCTCAGATTCGCCCTCTGAGTCTACTGCCCGTGATTGAGGTGCCTCACAAAAAGCCTCGCCAGCTGAAGCCGCTTGCTGACGCGACTCCTTTGATAGACGGGCTTCAGATTCGCCCTCCGGAACTACTGGGTGCTGCCCCTCGCCCGCCAGAGAGCCTTGCTGACGCGATTCTTTCGCCAAACGGATATCAGAACGTCTTTCCAGGCTTCGGGACGTATCAACGGCCTCCAAGCCTGCTGGTTGGAGAACCCCCGCCATAGCCTCCTCTGCAGTCCCCGTGAAAGACTTTGTAGATTTCTCGAAAATATTTTGAGAGTTATCGGAACGTCTGTCAGAGTCAGGGCTTTGTGACGCAGCAACGCCCTCACGGCCTGCCGGTTGGAATCTTCCTGCCACAGCCTCCGCTGGGGGTCTCTTCTCCGGATCACGCGCCCTCTCTGCAACCGCTTCCCGCTGCTCCCTCTCCGCACCCCCGTTAGTGTCACGCATACCCCCCGCGAGTGTCACGCGTACCCCCGCTAGCGTCACCCGCGAGTCGCAGGCCATTACTAGCCCCCTGCTCGTTTCCACTGCGCGCTATCTGCTTTCGGACCATGCCGCCTCGCCACTCCCTTTACCCGCCCTCTCTCCGCAACTTGATTGCCCTCGCGTCCTTAGTTAATCGACACTATCGGGTTTTCTTCATTTGAATCCCTTTCAACTTAGCTATCGTCCTTTCTCCTAACAGGTGCCTCGAATGATGAAAGTGGGCAAAACCTAATCTCGGAGCGCGAAGCGGATTTGAGGCGCTAGGAGAGTTTCTGGAGAGTGAAGAGAACTATCTCCGAGAAATGCGTGACCAGACGAACGCAACTGGACTTGAATGAATAATTCCGTACCAACAGAAACCATACCACGCAGGTCGCTAGAGATTGAGGGAATCTGCTACGGGAAGAAGGCTCGTGGCATACCACTAAGTTGCTCCTTAGAGGATAAGGCAGTGACCAGACTAGAACCTGGAGCTGCTGGCATACTGAAAATTGAAATTCCCGCCTGACATGGCGAGGGAGTCGGCAAAATAGCCAGCCGGATCCGATACAACAGCGCTCTAATATCATCTTATGGTACCAATTTTTGTTGCATTTGTAAAGCACGATACTAAAACTAAGGGATGCTCAAACTTGAATAATAATAAACAATAGATACACCATCCACGAGAATGCCGCCACATTTCTAGAGTTTTGACGCGAGGCTTGGCAGAGTCGTCTCACTACAGCAGTTCCCATCTTTGCTAGCGCTAGGTGTAGAAACAGTGCCTGTTTCGGCGGCATTTTCAGGTTCGCTAGGAGGAACATCAACTGCAGGAGATATGTTGAAGAAACCATGTGGCTGCACGCACAAACACAAACAAACCATGAGGGTGAATTCAGTGTTACAAACAATAGAAGATATTGTAAACCAAATAATTTGGCCAACATCGGCGTACATGTTCCAGGAATCAGTAAATATATGCAGTTCAGTGGTGAATGAAACACACCAAGGTTGTAACGAGGTAAAAAGAATGGAATCGACTCCATACCAAAAACTCTTTTGCACCATAACCAGTGCAACATGCATGCACTGGTGATGGTGCATACATGTTGCCGCAGGTTACCACAGAATAAAGCTAATACATTCACATGACACTCAATATGACTTTAGCATTGACTCACCATGAGGCAGAAGCCGAGGTATTTACACGGCATGACGGGCCAATCTTCCAGCCGTGGAAGGGAGGGATGTGTGTAAGGCTAGACTTGTTCCTATGAGGCCCCTCAAATCAACCTCTGACTCACCATGAGGCAGAAGCCGAGGTATTCACAGGGTAACACCGGCCAATCCTCTAGCCATGGAACATGTTTGAGTCCACTCAACATACCTCCCAGGCATTAAAAAAAAAAAACAAGCACCGACTCACCATGAGGCAGAAACTGAGGTATTCACAGGGCATGACGGGCCAATCCTCCAGCCGTGGGACGTGAGTGAGGCCAAACACGTACCTGCACACAACAGGTGGGATGGGAATGCAATGGAAGGGGACGAGGGAAACATATAAAAAGTAGTGAAAACTAAAAGCTGATTTGGTCACAGTGGACGATGCACGGCACAAGGAAAATAAGAGAAGGACTGGCTTCCATGCACCACGTCAGCTTTATAGCAAAAGCAGGCTTGCCACATGTTAAGGCACCACATACCGAGGCATCACTTACCAGAGCACCACATCAGCATTGTCGATCGATCTGTTCTGCTGCACCCACGAGGACAGCCCATCGCCAATCCTGGGGTTCTGGTTCGGGAACTCGCCGCCCGGAAACCGTTCCTCCGGGTGGTACGGCGTGACCCACAGGTTGTGCTTCAGGAAAGCTGCCCGGCGGAGAAATTTCGCCTCGGGCTGCGAGAAGGGCAGGCAGTTGGACCCTGGCACGAGCTTGTAGGCTGTTGGACGACCTGTCCGGTTGACTGCCCGAGTGTTTTGGATCTGTACCAAGAAAGATAGGGCCCAAAGAAACAGGCAAACCGAGAAATGGACAACAGAAGTAAGTGGTGTTATGAATGTACCATGTAACAAGATGGAGCACACTCCTTATTCAGTGCTTTCAGACGAATGCCCTCCCACTCACCAGCCAGTGCCTGGCAGACATGGGGTCCACATCCCGCATGCCCTCGCCCTCTGTCCGCACAACCCTCTCCTTTTGCAGGCGAACAAAGGAAAACGCCCTCTCTCACTCTCACACTCACTCCCTCATTCACTCACCAGCCAGTGCCTGGCAAACATGGGATCCACGCCTCTCATGCCCTCTGTCCGAAGCACCGCATAGACAGCAGTCCAAATGCCCTCTCTCTCTATACGCCCCCAATTGCTCAGTCACCCACTCACCAGCCATGCTCAGTCACCCACTCACCAGCCAGTGCCTGGCAGACATGGGATCCACATCTCTCATCCCTTCGCCTTCTGTCCGAAGCACCCTCTCCTCTGCATAGAAGGCATTCGCATGAGGGTTGTGCGGGCCTGCCCCTTCCATCCTCACATTCAGCTCCGCCACCTGATGATAGGAAGAGAGAGAGGGGTGGGTGGGAGGATTCCAAGAGTGGGGCGCCATCGCACATGGGTTGTGGGGGTTCTTCCCTCCCCTTCCATCCTCACGTTCAGCTCCACCACCAGATGTAGGGGAAGGAGGGGGTAGGGGCAGAAAATATCGGTTCATTAAGGGAACTTGGTCATTCGCACATGGGTTGTGGGGCCAACCATACCTGGTTGGTATTCTCCCCTGGGCTTCAATCCACAGCCATGTCCATGCAAGCCACGAAGAAGCGCTGGTGGATGGATGGATGGATGGATGGATGGATGGATGGATGGATGGATGGATGGATGGATGGATGGATGGATGGATGGATGGATGGATGGATGGATGGATGGATGGATGGATGGATGGATGGATGGATGGATGGATGGATGGATGGATGGATGGATGGATGGATGGATGGATGGATGGATGGATGGATGGATGGATGGATGGATGGATGGATGGATGGATGGATGGATGGATGGATGGATGGGTGCATGGGGGCAGAGAGGCCGAGCACTAGCGGCATCTCGTGCAGCAACTAAACGCCTTGCCTTTGCCATGCATCCTAACGCCCTCACCTGATTAGCCTGCTCGCCCGGGCGGCAGTCAACAGCCATGTCCATGCGAGCCACAAAGAAGTGCTGGTGGATGGGAGCATACAGCCCCGGCGCCAGCAGTGTCCCATACTTGCGCTCCTCGCCCTCCCTCAGAGTGCCCACTGATAGGATCCCCGTGAGCTTTACTTGCGCTTCGATCTTGCCATCCTGTGGTGTGGGGAGGGGTTGAGGTCTTAGAGTGAATGAAGGGGGTGGATGGGAGCATACAGCCCCGGCGCCAGCAGTGTCCCATACTTGCGCTCCTCGCCCTCCCTCAGAGTGCCCACCGACAGAATGCCCGTCAGCTTTACTTGTGCTTCGATCTTGCCATCCTGTGGTGTGGAAGAGTGTAAAGAGAGGGGAGGAGGGAAGAGAAGAGGGAAGAGAGCAGGGAAGAGGAAGGGGAGTAGGGGGAGTGGGAGAGTGGAGGTAGTAGGGTTAGTCAAGGGAGTGGGGAAATGAAGGGGGTGGATGAAAGCGTACAGCCCCGGTACCAGCAGCGTGCCGTACCTCTGCTCCTCGCCCTCCCTCAGCGCTCACACTGATAAGATGCCGGTGAGCTTCACCTGTGCCTCTATCTTGCCGTCCTGTTGAGGGGGGTTGAGGGGTTGAGGGCATTGAGTGGAAGCGGGGGGAATGTGATGCGTACCTCCTCTCCTCGCCCTCCCTCAACGCTCCCACTGACACACCCACCTGATAGAGATACCAGAAGAAGCCGTATTCGTAGTTGCCCACCGTGCACACAAACGAGAGCACGAGCCTTCTCGACCGCCTCACTTCCGTGTGCCCCGAGCGCCAGTCCACGTGCTTCCAGAGCATGCCATGGTCCTCCTCATGCATGCACACGGCATTCTCTATCGTCTCGACGCCACCGAGAAAGTTGCTCATGTGCGCGTCAAAGTAGCGGATCAACCCTAGACAGTCACATCCCTGGGGAAAGAAATGGATGGGAAATATGGGATGGGGAGAATCGCATGGACAGAATGGGATGGGGAAAGAAGAAAAGGAGAAGAAGAAACATAAGTGTTCTTGAGCCTCAAACGACTTATGGAGGTATTGCGGGTTGTATAAAACTCAGCCTGTCTAGCAAGGCACAGAGACTTCACTCACTGACCCCACCAGCAGCCCCACCGATAGCAGCAGCCCCAGCAGCAGCAGCAGCAGCAGCACCACCACCACCACCACCACCACCACCACCACCACCACCACCACGCCTCGAGAAACTCACATTCCTCACAAAACACTTGATTTTTCAACAGCACGCACCTTTTTGCGTGAGTGGGTGTTCTTCCCCAGCCCGTCCTCCTTCCTTCGCTTCTCTCTCATTGCCCATACCCACGCACCTTCGTTAGCGAGTGGGCGGTCTTGCCCAGCCCGTCTTCTCCGGCATCGAAGGCGTTTTTGCGGTAGTGGGGCTCGTGGGGGTCGCCATACGGCACCACCATCTCACAGAAGCTCAGCCGGTGCGCAACGCCCCTCCTGCCGCTGCTGCCATCGTCGTAGGCTAGGGAATGCAGCACCAGGCCTTCTTTAGGCGTGAACCCTACACGGAAACTCCACTGGAAGAATACGATGGGCAGGAATGGGCAGGAGTAGGGAGGAATACGATGGAAGGGTTAAGGCCCGCCGCTATGAAGCTCGAACCATCTGGCTGTTCCCCTCTGATCGGATTCAAGTCACTGCAGTCCCCTCTAACCACTGCAGTCCCCTCTAACCACTGCAGTCCCCCCTAACCACTGCAGACCACGCCCCACAGTCTGCTACCACACACCCAAACCACCCAACCATCTGCCCCCAGTCCCTTTTCCCCCCTCTCTCCCCATGTAACCAAACTACACAACCATCACAGTCCCCTTTTCCCCATCTCCCCTCCGCCCCCCTCCGCCCCACTTTCCCAACCACCCAATCCACCTCCAGCATTCCGCCTTCCACTTCCCTCCTCCCTCCTCCCCCCCTTCCACACACTTTCTGCCACTCCAAAGCATAGCCTGACACTCGGAGCTCGGCCCCTCAGGCTGCTCAATCTTCACTGGCTTCAAGTCACAGTGGTCCACGCCCCCCCTGTCCCATACTTGTCGTCTCTAAAACCCCCTTTTGGCCTTTCCATTCTCACTCTATTCTCTCACTCGATTCTCTCCCATGCACCTTCTGCCACTCCACACCGTATTCAACCCCTTGACATCCCTCATTCCACCCACCTTCTGCCACTCCACAGCGTATCCATTCACGCGGAAGCTCGGCCCCTCGGGCTGCTCTATCTTAATGGGCTTCAAGTCGGAGCGGTCTACGCCCCCCCTGTCCGCCCCGGGCGTGTAGTTGCGCAACGGGTCGGGCGGGGGCAGGGGGATGAGCTCCCTGTCCTCGCACCTGATCACTTCCATGCTCTGTAACGGCAGCAGGGGAAGATGGAGCAGCAGCAGCAGCAGAGGAAGGGGCAGGAGCGGGGCGGATGAAACGGAGGATATGGGGAAAGGGAGGGGGGTGAGGAGTGGGTGGTGGCTTCAAGTCGGAGCGGTCCACGCCCCCCCTGTCCGCCCCGGCCGTGTAGTTGCGCAGCGGGTCGGGCGGGGCGGATCACTTCAATGCTCTGTAACGGCAGCAGGGGAAGCAGGGAGAGGGGGAGAGAAGAAACATATATCCTGTCATCCATTGGTGTGTAGATGCGCAGTGGGTCCGGTGGGGGCAGCGGGATCACCTCCCTGTCCTCGCACCTTGATCACTGCCATGGACTGGACGGGAGCAGCAGCAGGGGAGAATTGAAGGGAGGAGATGGGGTAGGGGAGGAGAAATATAAGGGTAGGAGATAAGGCTAGACTGTGAGGGTGGGAGATAAGGCTAGAGTGTGGCAGGGGGATGAGCTCCCTGCCCTCGCACCTCATCACTTCCATGCTTTAAAAACTAAAGGTAGGAGGGGACGGGAGAGGAGGGAAATAGAAATCTATATCCCGACAACCAATGGATACTCGAGCTGGTGAGGTGGGAGGAGAGGGATGACCTCCCTGTCCTCGCTCCTAACCACTGCCATGCTCTGACCGACAGCAGGGAGGGTCCTAATATAGGGAGGGGATACTCACCTGCGAGTCTAGAGCCACGTCACGTGTATGCCCTCCACAAGCCTGGCGTATCCACTGTCCGAGGAGCAGTCAGAAGGGCACATGCGAATGTGCTGTTAAAAAGGCTGTGCTTATAAAGAGTATATATGCTCACGCTCACCTGCAGGTCCAACGTTACGTATATACCCTCCACGGGCCTGGCGTATCCATTGTCCTAAGAGCAGTCAGAGGGGCACAAGTGTGTGTACTTAAGGGTGTAAACAAATACCACTGTATTCGTATTAGTATTCGATATTCGGCAAATATCAAATACAAATCAAATACAAATGCCCCTTATTATTCGAAAGTATTCAACGTTCAAGTATTCGAGTATTCGGTTTAGATAACCGGTTATTCGAATACATATTCGATTCGTTCTTAAGTTACTGAACCACTCAAACCAGCCGCTATTATTCACGAAATCTTGAGTAAACAATACAAAGGACTCTACAGAACGGCCGTCAGAGCCATGCTAACTGAGCAAGGGGCCAAAGTTAGAGTAAAAGGGTGTGAATGATACTTCAGTATGCATTTAAGCCCCACTGTGAATCATGAGATCCTTGTTTGAGCTACAATATGCTATTCGAAACCGTATTCGACACACCATGTATTCGAATCGTATTCGAATTCGTGGAGGGACAGGTATTCGAACAAATACAAATACAGCCAGGTATTCGACAATTATTCGTTTTAGATAACCGTATTCGAATCCGTATTCGTTTTTACACCCTTATGTGTACTGTTAACGAGGCAGTGCTTATAAAGGGTACATCTTCTCACCTGCAGGTCCAACGTCACGTATATACCCTCGACGGGCCTGGCGTATCCATTGTCCAAAGAGCAGTCAGAGGGGAACATGCTTGTGCTGCTAACGAGGCAGTGATTATAAAGAGTATATCTTCTTACCTGCAGGTCCAACGTCATGTATATACCCTCGACGGGCCTGGCGTATCCATTGTCCAAAGAGCAGTCAGAGGGGAAGCGGCAGTAGATGAGCGGCTTGGCGAGGCGGCGATTGGGGTGATCCGCTTCAGAGTAATACCCCACACACCTGGAGACACAACGGGATCGAGTGAGGGGAGATTAGGAGGGAAGAAACACACCGGAGATGGAGAGAGAGGAATGACTGAGCCCAGAATGACTTAGTGGGTGTAATATACATAAATACACCTGAATAAGATGCCATGAAGCATAATGATCATTCATGCATGCTTGGTCTATTTCAGTACATAGCACAGGTTTGCTCGTGCCGTCATTGCAGAACGCTAACTAAGCACGTTGCCTTGATGACTCACCACGCGTCCACCATGACTAGGTCCATGTCATCGACACCTCGTCGCCTCATCGCCTCTTGAAATGGCAGGTGTGCCTTCACTGCTGCCTCGCCCTCTGCATACTCCACTGGGTCCTGAAGGGAGGAAAGAAGAGAGGACGGCAGGATGAGAGGATAAGAGAAAAAGGATGAGCTAAAGGAACATGCATTGACGGTGCTGGGTGTGCCTTCACTGCTGCCTCGCACTCTGCATACTCCACTGCGCCCTGGGTAGGGGGGATGGAGGGATGAGAAAAAGGAAGGATGAGAGACTGAGGATAACGAAGAGTGAGAGGATGGGAGGAAATGATAAAAGGATGGGAGGAAAGAAGATGCTTCAACCCTGCTGGGTGAGCTTTCACTGCTTCCTCGCACTCTGAACACTCCACTGCATCCTGAGGACAGGCAAGTGAAGTGAGAGGGAGAGGAGCTGCAAGATTCAGCTCGAGAAAACTCAATAGTCTGTTCGCAAAACCCAATTCGCTGTAACTGCATCAGGAGGAGTGTACACAGAGGCATGTGCATCTGAACGCCATTGCTGACTTTGTCTGGACTCACCATGGCGGGCTGAACGTCCTCCATGACCTGGCACGATTTGATTCGTCCACGGTGGTGCCCCCCCCTGAGACTCGCATGCACCTCTGCCAGCTGTACCACCCATACCGCCGTCTGATTGGTCAGCTTGTTCCACGTCACCAGCCTCGCCTCCCGGGGGGGGAGGCGGAGAACAGCCGCTTTGGGAGAGGGGGAGGCGGCGGAGGAGGCGGAGGGGGAGGGGGTGGTGGTGGTGGAGGAAGGGATGGGGGAGGAGGAGGAGGAGGGAAAGGAGGAGGACGGTTTGTTGTGAGTGGGAGGGTGAGCGTTGGCGGGTGGAATGTACACCGAGTGCTGGTAAGGAGGGAAGAAGTAGGAGTCTGCCAGTGCGACCACGTCCTTGGGTGGCTCGTTAAGAGCCACCTCAATAAAGCGGATGGCATCCCGCAGCTGAAACAAAGAAACAGTTACATCAGCAATAGTGACGGAACACGAAAATGAGGGAAAAAATAGGGAGAACTTCCCAAAAGGAGGTCCATCAATGTATTTGAAACGCATGATAACTAAATATGCGTCACAGCATATTTTTATCAAACCGAACTGTAAGTTTTCTAACTAGATTTGACATGATGAAAACACGTTAAAATAGCAACTAAAATATTATAAGTAACTTGCCTCGGGAGTAGCTCCAGCCGTGCGGACCGTCGCGAGGGCGACAGAGATCTCCGCGGGACTCAGCGGGTCCAGCGGATGCACTAACGGAGTCCGTCCGATGGAAACGACCTTGGAATGCGACTTGACGGGCGCTGCGAATACAGGAAACTGATTTTGTCAGACGGGCTCCTTTAAAAAAAATGTAAAAGTCGAGACGATAACGACTGAAGGAAGGAAGATCGAGGCAACAAAATATAGGAGCTGGGTGCATAGGCAGTAAAATTTGAGTTCTATTACGGCTGGAGAGTCACTGAAAAATGACAATAAGACCACTAACAGTGAGACCAAATGAAGTGGAGCTTTAGGAGTCGAACTGCGACTCACTCACCCATTACAATACGTAGATAACCTCGCACAGGAGGGAGCTGACGGGCCAAATAACTTTCCACAGAGAATAGACCAATAGGTGCAAGGATTGATGTTGGAGACGAAGGGCTTCTTGGCACCGAAGAAGAATCAATATCTGGCACTGGAACAATAAGACGCTATCCAGCTCGAAATCGCACTGGCGTCACAAAAAATGGGACGCCCAAAAGCTGTCAACAATTGGCGTATCGAGCAGGCATGCGCACCCGGGAATGGCCTAGAAAGCTGTTAGCACACACAAAGCAATCATTTCGAGCCAAGGAATGCAGATGCACTGTCACAGTGTAGCTGAGCAATGGAACCCCTTTCACATTGTGGCGCTGTTCGATAGCTTTTGGGCCTTCCAGGATGCAACCATTTGGAATGGCCCTGTCGCCCAAATGTTTCAGGGTCGCGACAAACTGCAAGTGGGGCCTCAGGGCCGGCAGTGTAATCATTTGGCCGCCCCAACGCCGGCTTGTTTCACCGAACTCAACCGTGCAGGGTGTCGAAAAGCTCCACCCCAACGGCCCATTGAAGCGGACGAGGGTTCCCCCAAAGTTGACAGGTGAAGGCAAAAACAAGACTCGACGCTAACGTCGTAAGGGTTGCGTATAAGGTACGTTCGTATGGCAGAATAAAAGATACCATTAACGAAGGTTTGTACTAGATCATACTTATAGAATTATGTGTTCTATGTTTCCACAGTTATATATACTGTGATCTTACTGTGCCCTCACGTGAGTAGATTTTGTTTTCTGAAAATACGGTTTTGAAGTCGGACTATATTGGGTTTGTGTTTTGCATCTGACTCTGATGTGTCGCGCGTGTGAGTTCACGTGACACTAGCTTCCAAATGTTATGTGTGTTTTTTTTTTTTTTTTGGATTGTGAAGTGCCCAAATTCTATTGAAGTTTTTGTAATTCGCTCCATCGGTTCTATTTTTCTGTGTAGAGAACTCTTCAAGCGTTGTTTTGATTTCGGCAGAAAAAAACTTACCAGCAGCACGAACCACCCCAACAAGCTCCTTCCCTTTCCCATCTGTCAGCTCCAACTCATCTCCTCTCTTCCTGGTTCCTCGAATTCCTCCCGTACCTGCTCTCAATACCCTTCTCTCCCAACTGCAAACCCTACTCCTGCTACTAGTGTTTCCTAACACCTAGCCGTCGCCTCTCCCTCTCACCCCGCCGTTGCCCCTCTCTTTTACCCCGCCGTCGCCCCTCCCTTTTACCCCGCCGTCGCCATTCCTTCCCATCCCACCTCCACCTCTCCCTCCCATCCCGTCGCCACCTCTCATTCCCATCTCGCCGCCACCTTTCCCTCCCATCCCGTTGCCACCGCTCCCTCCCATCCCGTCGCCACCGCTCCCTCCCATCCCGCCCTCGTCCTCTCCCACCCCGCCGTTGCCTCTCTCACCTACCCCGCCGTCGCCTCTCACTCCCACCCCCTTGTCGCCTCGCCCTCCCACGCCGCCGTCGCCACTCCCTCCCACGCCGCCGCCGCCGCCTCTCCCTACCATCCCGCCGTCGGCTCTCCCTCCTATCCCGCCGCCGCCACTCCCCTCCCATCCCGCCACCGCCACTCCCCTCCCATCCCGCCACCGCTTCTCCCTCTTATCCCGCCGACTTCTCCCCCTCCCGTCCCGTTTCGCCACTCTCTCTCATCCCGCCGTCGCCACTCTGTCCCATTCCGCCGCCGCCTCTCCCTTCCATTCCGCCGCCGCCTCTCCCTTCCATTCCGCCGCCGCCTCTCCCTTCCATTTCGCCGCCGCATCTCCCTTCCATTCCGCCGCCGCATCTCCCTTCCATTCCGCCACCGCATCTCCCTCATCCCCGCCGCGCCACTCCCTCCCGTCCCGCCGTGGGGAGGTTTGTGAGCATGGATAAGGATGGTGCGCGAACGAGAGCTGGTGCACGAGCGCGGGATGGTCTTCGAGGCACCGTCATTTGCAGGTGCGTTTATTCCTCCCACCCCTCTAAAATTCCATTGTTCTCCTACCTTATTTGTCCTTTCTGTGTGTAGACTTGCCTCGTCTTGCGTTGCACTACCGATTGAAGAAGGGGAGAGAGGGAGCGTGAGGGGAAGCGAGCACGCAGGAGAGTGCGCGTGAGAGAGCGTATGTGAGAGCGAAGGAAGATCTGGAGGGAGCACGAAGCGCGTGTGGGAGAGAGAGGCGGGGGAGAGAGTGTGTGCGCGCTTGCGCCGTTTGCGTGGGTGCCTTGGGCGCTTGCGCCTAATCCGCTTGCGCTTATGTCGCTTGCGCTTAGGGCGTGTGTGTGTATGTGAGTGGTTGCAAGAGTGAGTCGAGAGTGTGCGAGAGGGTGAGTGCTTGTGTGGGTGTGAGTGCGAGAGTGAGATGCGCGCATGCACTCAAGGTTGAGTGTGGTTGTGAGCGGAAGGGCGAGTGCGAGGTCGAATTAGAGAGCAAGTGCATGAGTGAGTGCGTCAGTAGTGAGAAGGTGAGTGGGAAAGCAAGTGTGAGAGTGAGTGCGAGTGTAAGTGCGAGGGCGAGTTTGAGGGTGAGTGCGAGCATGAGTGTGTGTGTGCGTACGAGGTTGAGTGCAAGTGCGTTCGAGTGTGTGTGAGGGTGAGTGCGAGGATGTGTGAAAGGGTGTGTGTGTTTTTGTGAGTGTCAAAGAAGAGTTGAGAGTATATTTGTGTGAGTGAAGAGTGAGTGCGAGAGTGTGAGGCTGAGTGAGTGAGTTGGTGGCTGCAATGTTGAGTGTAAGGGTGATCGCGGTGTGAGTGTAAGAGTGAGTGCGAGGGTGAGCACGAGTATGTGCAAGAGCAAGTGGGAGAGTGAGGGCGAGTACGAGTGCGAGAAGGAGTGCGAGCGTTAGTGTGGGTGTGACTGTAGGTGCGAGTGTGGGTGTGAGTGCGAGTTGAGTTCGAGTGTGTGTGCGCCATGTGTGCGTGTGCGTGTTCGAGTGAGTGCGAAGGTGAGCCGAGCACGAGTCCGAAGGTGAGTGAGGGTTTATGTGTGTGTTTCTGTGAGTGTCTCTAAGAACGGTTGAAAGTTACTTGTGTGTCCATGGATGGTTGCGAGCGTGAGTGCGAAAGAGTGTGAGGGAATGAGTGCGGGAGTGCGAGAGTGAGTGCACGCATGCACTTGAGGGTGCATGTGAGTGTGTGTACGAGGGTGAATGCGAGAGGAAGTGCGAGACTGAGGTGCGAGGATGAGTGTCAGGTTGAAGGCGAGGGTGGCTGCGATGTATTGCGTGCGTGCTGGCATGGTACGTGTGAAGACACGAGGTCTTATACCGAATCACCTTCACGAGATGTCAAATTTGATTGTTTTTTACCCTCATCTTTCTTTTCAGTACTTCATTCTTCATCATCATATTTCTATAATGCCTACCTCGTTTCTTGTGCATCGGGTGGGCTGCATTCCTGTTATTTGTTTTCCTGTGTTATGCAGCTCATGCAACTTGTATTCTCTGCTTTTCTTTTTGTTACTGCAGGGAGTGTCAGCTGCATTATCTGTTTTTCTCTCTTGTCCAGGGAGTGTGGTGAGCTGCATGCGCTGTTTGTGCTTTCTTGTGCAGGGAGTGCTGCACTACGGGAGGGTCGAAAGAAAAGGGGATATTGGAAGGGAGGGGGGGATGGGAGATGAGGGAGGGAGGGAGGGAGGGGAATGTGGGACAGGCTAACGATGATTTATACATGTCTGAACTCCATTCTTTACGCTTGCATTGCATGTTCAATAGCGGTAGTATGCTTTTGCGTTTGTTTGCGCGTGTATGTATGTGCGTAAGTGAGCCTGTATTTGTCTGTGCTGTGCATACATGTGTAAACGCATGTTGGTGTTGTTTGTGTCTGTTTTGGGGTGTGGTGCTAAGTGCCTCGTATATGCAACTGGGGTTGTGATCGTTGGTGGGGCAGCTTTGCTCGCCTCTTCCATACCAGATCAATCTCATTTGCATAATCGATGCATTCTAGCACTAGCTTCAAAGCATTCACAACTATTGTCCCTCGTTTATGTACGTGTTTGTGTGCTCTCGTTTGTGTAACGTGTTGTCTGTTTTGGGGTGTGGTGCTAAGTGCTTCGTGTATGCAATTGGGGTTGTCATCGTCGGTGGGGCAGCTTTGCTCACCTCTTCCAACCATATCAACCTCAGTTGCAGCATTGATGCATTTAGTGTTCGCCTCGAAACATGCACGATTTCGAAATGCTGTTTTTGTACACGTTCTCTTGTGCGCGTGGTAATTTCCCCTCAAGTTTTTGTCCTACGGAACCAATTACTCCATTCGCCGTATTTATCGACGACTATGGAATGATTGGGTACATTTGGTTTCACATTTTGTGGGACTTACGTGAACAGTGATTCCTTCAAAATTGATGGGGGAAAATCACTGTTCATGTCAGTCAACCGAAAAGTGAAAACGAATGTATAAGGTTGCTACGCAACCCAAAAATCTAAACACAAAATACCGCTGGATGTAGGGAAAAACAAGATTCGACGTTTACGTCGTAAGAGTTGCGTAGGGTTATATTCCTCGTATATGAAACATATGTTTAATGTATCATGCTTCTGGAAATCGATTATCAAGGTTGTATTTACTTAGAAAATTTGCAATTATATATATTTATATGTACGCATGAAAATGTTTTGAGTTTTGCCAGGGAACAATTTGGAGAATGGGGATTTTGTTGCGATTATGATTAGGCAATTTTTCTACCTCGATCTACTTTATTGTTGTTTCCTATTATATTGCACTATCAAGTTAGTATGGTGAATCGTTTCTTGTCCCTACAACGTGACAACTTGTATCTGAACAGAACATATCCACTCTTCTAACGAGTAAACTTTGTATTCTTCCTTTGCACACCTGTCAAACCAAATTCGACGCTCCTCTCTTCTTTATTCTTGGTTCTTGATTCTTGTTTTCTTGTTCTTAGGTTCTTGCTCTTCTTTGGTTCTTGCTGTCCCGCCTGCCTACTATGTTAGCTTTTCTGTTCTCCTAACACTCCGCCGCCGCCTCTCCTCCCATCCCACTGTGTCCTCTCCCTCACTCCCCGCCATCTCCTCTACCTCCCTCTCAGCCGCCGTCGCCGCTCCTTCCTATCCTGCATCGCCTCCGCCTCCCACCCCGTCATAGCCTCTCCCTTCCTCCTCTCCGTCGCCTCTCCCTCCCTTCCCGCCATCGCCTCTGGTGGGTGCACGAGCATGAGCGCGGGTTTCTGCCCGACCGCGCGTTGTTTTCTGAGGCACCGTTGTCTCAGGTGCGTTTACGTTTTCCGGACCTATTACCTCCCTCCTCCCTCCGAGAATTCCTATTTTCTACGTTCTTCGTAAGTTCTCTGTGCCAATTGGTTTCCTTTTAGCATTGTGCTCCCATTGGTTTCCTCTTTAGTATTGCGCTAGCGCCCTGCGCGCTGGGGCCCTGTGCGCTGGCGCCCTGCGCGCTGGCGCCCTGCGCGCTGGCGCCTAACGCGCTGGCGCCTAACGCGCTGGCGCCTTGCGCGCTGGCGCCTTGCGCGCTGGCGCCTTGCGCGCTGGCGCCTTGGGCGCTGGCGCCTTGGGCGCTGGCGCCTTGCGCGCTGGCGCCTTGCGCGCTGGCGCCTTGCGCGCTGGCGCCTTGGGCGCTGGCGCCTTGGGCGCTGGCGCCTTGCGCGCTGGCGCCTGGCGGCGCTGGCGCCTTGGGCGCTGGCGCCTTGGGCGCTGGCGCCTTGGGCGCTGGCGCCTTGCGCGCTGGCGCCTTGGGCGCTGGCGCCTTGCGCGCTGGCGCCTTGCGCGCTGGCGCCTTGGGCGCTGGCGCCTTGGGCGCTGGCGCCTTGCGCGCTGGCGCCTTGCGCGCTGGCGCCTTGCGCGCTGGCGCCTTGGGCGCTGGCGCCTTGCGCGCTGGCGCCTTGGGCGCTGGCGCCTTGCGCGCTGGCGCCTTGCGCGCTGGCGCCTTGGGCGCTGGCGCCTTGGGCGCTGGCGCCTTGCGTGCTGGCGCCCTGCGCGCTGGCGCCCTGCGCGCTGGCGCCCAACGCGCTGGCGCCCAACGCGCTGGCGCCCAACGCGCTGGCGCCTTGCGCGCTGGCGCCTTGCGCGCTGGCGCCTTGCGCGCTGGCGCCTTGCGCGCTGGCGCCTTGCGCGCTGGCGCCTTGGGCGCTGGCGCCTTGCGCGCTGGCGCCTTGCGCGCTGGCGCCTTGGGCGCTGGCGGCGCTGGCGCCTTGCGCGCTGGCGCCTTGCGCGCTGGCGCCCTGCGCGCTGGCGCCCTGCGCGCTGGCGCCCAACGCGCTGGCGCCCAACGCGCTGGCGCCCAACGCGCTGGCGCCCAACGCGCTGGCGCCTTGCGCGCTGGCGCCTTGCGCGCTGGCGCCTTGGGCGCTGGCGCCTTGCGCGCTGGCGCCTTGCGCGCTGGCGCCTTGGGCGCTGGCGCCTTGCGCGCTGGCGCCTTGGGCGCTGGCGCCTTGGGCGCTGGCGCCTTGCGCGCTGGCGCCCTGCGCGCTGGCGCCCAACGCACTGGCGCCCAACGCGCTGGCGCCTTGCGCGCTGGCGCCTTGCGCGCTGGCGCCTTGCGCGCTGGCGCCTTGCGCGCTGGCGCCTTGCGCGCTGGCGCCTTGGGCGCTGGCGCCTTGGGCGCTGGCGCCTTGCGCGCTGGCGCCTTGCGCGCTGGCGCCTTGCGCGCTGGCGCCTTGCGCGCTGGCGCCTTGCGCGCTGGCGCCTTGCGCGCTGGCGCCTTGCGCGCTGGCGCCTTGCGCGCTGGCGCCTTGCGCGCTGGCGCCTTGCGCGCTCGCGCCTTGGGCGCTCGCGCCTTGCGCGCTGGCGCCTTGCGCGCTGGCGCTTTGCTGCAGTGAGCTCACGCCTTGCTGCAGTGAGCTCACGCCTTGCTGCAGTGAGCTCTCGCCTTGCTGCAGTGAGCTCACGCCTTGCTGCAGTGAGCTCACGCCTTGGTGCAGTGAGCTCACGCCTTGCTGCAGTGAGCTCACGCCTTGGTGCAGTGAGCTGACGCCTTGCTGCAGTGAGCTCACGCCTTGGTGCAGTGAGCTCACGCCTTGCTGCAGTGAGCTCACGCCTTGCTGCAGTGAGCTCACGCCTTGCTGCAGTGAGCTCACGCCTTGCTGCTGTGAGCTCACGCCTTGCTGCTGTGAGCTCACGCCTTGCTGCAGTGAGCTCACGCCTTTCTGCAGTGAGCTCACGCCTTGCTGCAGTGAGCTCACGCCTTGCTGCAGTGAGCTCACGCCTTGCTGCTGTGAGCTCACGCCTTGCTGCAGTGAGCTCACGCCTTGCTGCAGTGAGCTCACGCCTTGCTGCAGTGAGCTCACGCCTTGCTGCAGTGAGCTCACGCCTTGCTGCAGTGAGCTCACGCCTTTCTGCAGTGAGCTCACGCCTTGCTGCAGTGAGCTCACGCCTTGCTGCAGTGAGCTCACGCCTTGCTGCTGTGAGCTCACGCCTTGCTGCAGTGAGCTCACGCCTTGCTGCAGTGAGCTCACGCCTTTCTGCAGTGAGCTCACGCCTTGCTGCAGTGAGCTCACGCCTTGCTGCAGTGAGCTCACGCCTTGGTGCAGTGAGCTCACGCCTTGCTGCAGTGAGCTCACGCCTTGCTGCAGTGAGCTCACGCCTTTCTGCAGTGAGCTCACGCCTTGCTGCAGTGAGCTCACGCCTTTCTGAAGTGAGCTCATGCCTTGCTGCAGTGAGCTCACGCCTTTCTGTAGTGAGCTCATGCCTTGCTACGGCTGCCCCCTTGCTCCTTTGCCGGTGCCTTGCTGCAACTCTCTAGCACCTTGTAGCATGGCGATGCCCAGCCCGTTGCACCTTCCTCGCTGGAGCCACCAGCATGGTGTGCTTGACCCCAGGGAATCTATGCCTCAAACCACACTTGTGAGTCGTCAAATTTGGTTTCCTTTTGTACTTATCATATTTCAACCCATACTTGCTTTTCAAGTTCTATTTCACAATCAAGTGCATGCTCGTCACTGAAATTCACTCGGTTTTCTGACTACAATTCATTTTCTACTTGACCTGTTTGTTTTGCAAGGTGTGCGAGATGCGTTGTGGGGAGCAGGGAGGGTAATTCGAGAGACGAAGTCAATGTGGAAAAGTGTGGAAGGAGATTTTGATGGAGGGAGAGGAAGGCAGGCGGAAAGGGGGAGGAAGTAGCAGTGATTGATACATAATTAACTTATTGCAACTCTTTGTTTTGTCTGCTATCAATCCTATTTGTGTATGTATGTGTGTGTTTGTGCGGGTGTGCTCGTTGTGTTTGTTTCACTGTGGGGTTGCATTTTAATGCGTTTGGTTAGATGGGTTGTACTTTTTTTTACGTGCGTTTGCATTCATGTTTGTGGGATGTGTGTTTCAAAGTGTGGTGTTAGTATGTGTCATGTATGCAATTAGAGGTTGTTAATCGTCTTTGGGGCAGCGGGTTTTCGCTATTTCAACGACCCCATCAACCTCTGTTGTTACATGATGCATTTTAACATTCATTTTGAAGCATCCACCTACATTTCATACTTTGTTGTTCATCTGTACAATTGCATTCGTTCATGTTGAATCCAGAATATTATGCTCGGCCGTACCATCCGCCGTATTAATCGACGAGGTGGGACGGTCGAACAAGTTCGTGGTTTCAACATGATACGCACGTGCATGGTTTCACGTTTATGGATCTCATTCAAGAGTGGTTTTTATTCACTATTTGAGGCATCCGTTTGAACAAAGTCTTGGAAGTTCAAATGTGTGCTCCAAAGAGTGTATGGAAAATCACCTTTGAAATGATATCCCCAAAATGTGAAACCAAATATAAAGGGTTGCTACGCAACCCAAAAAAAAACCAACCACGTAGAACATCTCTCTACACAAAAGGCTGCAAGGAAACCCTAATTCGCGAAACACACTTCCTACTATGGATTTCGACCCTTTAGGGCCTACTTTAGTTAGTGAGTCTAATGAAGTAGTCGCCCATGCATCTATGTTCATACGTAGGATGGTTCTAATAATCGGCCAGGAAATGGTACAAGGGATTCTGCGTGAACTATTGATCGCTCATGCAGAAGCACAGCCATCCCGCACTCCAAAGCATACCTCCGTATTAGGCGGGCGAATGTATGCGCAGGAGTTACTCTCCGGTCATCCCGGTCGCATGCGGGAGAGTTTACGCATGGAGCCCCGATTATTCTGCACGTTACAAGAGTTACTAGAAAGCCGCGGCCTCCTTGTAGACGGCCGGGATGTAACGGCCTGCGAACAGCTAATGATCTTCCTTCAACTTGTAGGACACACAACCCCAAACCGGATCCTGCAAGAGAGATGGCAACGCTCCGGGTCGACGATATCGCTGTGTGTACGACGTGTGATCACTGCAATCTGTGCGCTGCAGCAGGAATTCATTCGACTACCAACGGACAGCCAGAAAGATGTCTTTGACATCCGATCAGAGTATGCTTTCTTTCGAAACGCAATCGGAGCTGTAGATGGGACGTTAATCCCTGCCCACATTATCGCTTCACGCCAAGCGCCGTTCTTTGATAGGCATGGAAACGTTTCGCAAAACGTCCTCGCCGCAGTGGATTTCCATGACAACTTCATATATGTCCTAGCGGGATGGGAAGGATCCACGCATGACGCCACCTTATGGGCGGACGCACTGACCCGTGGCTTTGCTCTTCCACACGATAAGTACCTCTTAGCCGACTCGGGCTTCCGTAACGACGCTAACTGTCTCACACCCTACAGGACGACCCTCTATCATTTGCAGCAGTTTAGGGATGCTAGCTTCCTCCCGCGCAATCACCAGGAGCTTTTTAATAGGTGGCATTCGTCGTTGCGCTCTCACGTTGAGTGTGCGTTTGGGCAGCTTAAGGCCCGGTTTCCGATCCTTAAGTTCATGCGACCATACCGTTATTCCGCTCAATGTAACATCGTCATCTGCTGCATCATTCTTCATAACCTTGTGAAGCGGTTTGGCGGAGACGACTTCGTGGACTTCACGGCGGAGAGTTTTGTCGCCACAGCAAGACCCCCGGCCAGGAGGCCCATGGAACTGGGCGCATCTGCGCATGAAGGCCGCGCAAGACGTGACCGCATTGCCGCTGCTTTGTGGGCAAACAGACGTCCTGGCGTTACTAGTAGAGATTAGCCAGCAACCACTGTATACATCTTGTGTGGGCCCATTAACAAACCCGTCTGCACATTAATATATATATCACAATAGCAACAATGACAAAAGACAAACATCATCCGTCTAGCGTAATCAAGTGGGTTCACTTCAGTTCAGGACACAACGCCCGTTTCACAACAATGCGGGGGGGGCCCAACATTTCCCATGCTGAGCCATCGTCTAGCTTTGCTCACCCTGGTCCATGGGGATAGGATAAAGAGAGTACAATCCAACACGCAAATCATAACACAGACAAACAGGGAAGGCCATACAATATGAGGCAATGTTTCGGGCTCACTCCTGCAGGCTCTTACCTCTCACCTCCACTGTAACCACCAGTTACCTCCACTGGAACCACAACTCACCCGCCCTGAGATCACATCTCACCTCCAATGTAATCACATCACACCTATCCTGTAGTCACATCTCACCTCCAGGGTAGTCACATCTTGGTACACTGTAATCACATCTCACCACCGCTGCAATCTTATCTCACATCCTCTGTGATCACGACTCACCTCCTCAGTAATCATATCTCACCTCCGCGGTAATCACATCTCACCTCCACAGTAATCACATCTCACCTCCACTGTAGGCACATCACATTGCTCAGCACTAGCATCCTTAATGGCGACGCCCCCACGCCACTACATGCTGCTTCTTGTACACGTGTGCCCCAGCCCCAGCTGCAAGAACCTGCCACCGCACCGTACGCGGCAATTCCTAGCACATAGCAGACAGAGGAGCAGAGCACACAGGCGTCGAAGGGAGTGATGATCCAACTGTCTAGGGCCAACCACGGACCAGTGCACAAAAGAGAAACGGCATTCCAGCGCTCAAAATAGGTAGAGGTGGGAGTGCGTGAAGGTGCTAGTGCCAGAGGAAACTGACTCATCGGTGTGGGTGGTGCGGGGTAGAGGGACACGTTGTAGCCGCTCTCACTACTGCCGGCTACCTCCCACTGCTGGATGCGCCGTTCTACGCCGCCCACTGCGTCCTCCAGACGCAGACCACACGCAGGAAGAGAGCCACCCATCAAAGCCCTCGTAGTTGTCGTCGTCGGGGTTGTATGAGTTGTACTCCATCTGGTCATGGACCGGGCGGCAGGGGGCAGGGCGCGATGCAGGGGAGGGCCATGTGTGACAAGAGGGAGATGTCAGAATATTGTAGCTTACTTATTTGTGTAGGCTATAGTGGGGTATCCCATAGGGGGTACAACCCAACTAGAGTTTCCTATTTGTACTCACTTCATTCATAGTCATTTCATTCTCGTTCTAACTTTCTCATGGTATCGAGCAGGTTCCCCCGTGGGAACTGTGCTTAGGGCCCACCACATCGAACCTTTTTTTTTCTGCCCGGAGCGCGCTCCGGGCCCTTGCTCTTACTTTTTTTTTCGATCTGCCCTAACGGCCCGAGCGCCGCCTTAGCGAGCCGCCCGCCCTAGCAGCCCGAGCGCCGCCTTAGCGCCCGCGCCCCGGTGCCCGCCCTCGCGCCGCCTTAGCGGCCTCGCCGCCCTGCTCTCGCGGCCCTCGCCGCCCTTCCTCACGCGGCTCCGCCGCCCCTGATCTCGCGGCCCCGTCGCCCCTGATCTCGCGGCCCCGCTGACCCTGAAAGCGCGGCCCTCGCCGCCCCTGATCTCGCGGCCCTGCCGCCCAAGCGCGCGCGGCCCCGCCGTCCCTGATCTCACGGCCCCGCCGCCTCAGCGCTCACGGCCCCCCCTCCGCCCCTGATCTCGCGGCCCCTCCGCCCCAGCGCTTCCGGCCCCGCTGCCCCTGATACGCGGCCCCGCCGCCCCAGCGCTCCCGGCCCCGCCGCCCCTGATCTCACGGCCCCGCCGTCCCTGATCTCGCGGCCCCGCCGCCCCAGCACTCACGGCCCCGCCGCCCCTGATCTCGCGGCCCCGCCGCCCCAAGCGCTCCCGGCCCCAGCCGCCCCTACTACGCGGCCCCGCCGCCCCTGGTCTCGCGGCCCCGCCGCCCCAGCACTAACGGCCCCGCCGCCCCTTGCTCTCGCGCCACCCGACTGCAGCAGCCGAGCCATTGACTTTGAGGTCTGGCTCGACGACCTGCAGCTGTTTTTACAGTGCGACAGGGCCGACGGTCTGTCTCTCTTTGACCTCACCTCTGGCGCCGTCCCTGCCCCCGCTGCTGATGCTGACGCCACTGTTCGCTCTCAGTGGGCCACGCGCGATGCTGCTGCACGTCTTGCTGTGCGTCGCCACCTGCCTACCGCTGAGCGCGCGCACTTTAGGCAGTACAAGAGTGCTCAGACCTTGTACGACGCTGTAGTTGCGCGCTACTCCTCCCCTGCCACTGCTGCACTGAGCCGCCTCATGCTCCCCTTCCTCTTCCCTGACCTTGCCGCCTTTCCCACTGTCGCTGATCTCATCACGCACCTCCGCACTAGTGACACTCGCTACCGCGCTGCGCTTCCTGCTGACTTCTGCGCCAAGAACCCCCCCCCCATGTACATCACTCTCTACTTCTTAGTCACTCGCCTCCCTGACTCCCTTCGTGTAGTCCGGGACCACTTCCTCGCGGTCTGTCCCACCACCCTCACAGTCGACAGCCTCGAGAAGGCCCTCCTTGCAGCAGAGAAGAGCATAGTTGCTGTAGGAGCCTCTCGAGGTGACCC